TTATTTGCCTATAAATACTACATAGTGTTTTAATAAAAATTTTAAAAAGATTTGGATTCCTGTTGACGTTTGACAAAGCTATCGAATTTTTAAGATGTCTATTTTCTCGAGATCATAGGTTTTCTGAAAACTCGTATTGTCGAATTTCGATCTGAAACTTTGCTCATACAGAAAACTCAACTGGACCAGCTTTCATTAAAACTACTCGACATTTTTGAACAAAGTCTCTTCGAGATATGATGCTTTTCCATGTTTACTGTATACAAGATGCATTTTCGGAAAGGTTTATGTATCGAAGATACTTTTTTTTATTGATCTCTGAATTTCTTATGCAAATTAGTAGAATTCGGTTCTCTATATGCACAAAGTATCAGATCAAAAGTCGAAAATACAAGTTTTCCAACATCTGGGATCTCTAGAAAATAGACATATAAAAAATTCGATAGCTTAGTAAAATCCCAATAGGGATCCAAACTCTTCTACAGTTTTTATTAGAAAACTATGTAGCATCTCTAGGTAAAATATCATGCATATCGAAAGGGCGCAGCGAGGAGACTTCCTTCTAGGCAAATTGCAGAACAACCATTAAGTTCTAAAGCGAATATAACAACAAAGAATTAATAAATCAGATGATGCAATATTGTTGATTGCTGAAATATATTTTATGTTGAAAACTTTTGTTCTTTGATTATGGAATCATTGCTATGGGGAAAAAGAATTTTCAATAACTTTCACCTTTTGTTTTTTCTACAATCGCGCTTAGATAAAATATTGATGTTTATACGGTTTTAGAAAAAATTAAATGGTCACAAAAAATGAAACTATTTTACATAATAACTTAACGAAAAATTCGCAAGGTAATTTTCAAAATGAATGTCATGAACTTCATATCATTATTTGTATTTCACTCAAAAATGAAACAATATTTCTTAGGTAACCTGAAGGGTATGTAGTCGCAAAAAAACTCGTTGTCAAGGGAAAGTAAATAACTCTGACCATGTTGTAGTCTATAAGTAAGGTGTTATCACCACGTAGTGTTTTTATGAAAAGTTTTTTTTCGTTAGAAAATAGCCTTATCTACCCTTGTCTCATTATTTGTGCTTTTACGACGATGATAAACAAGGATTTTAGTTTTCTAAAGATCCTGCTTTTTGAAGATTTCAGAATAATTTCTTTTCACTATTGAGATCGTTTTTAAGGCTTCATGCTATCAAATTAAAAACTTTTTGAATTACTTTGATCGCTATCATATACACAATAATATTCTTTGTGTGAGTTAGTAACCCAAACAATATAATTATTATCAAATGATATATTTGCAATTGAATTAATCATGCTATTATATATTTTTTATCCATAATGAAATAATACATGAATTTCTATGTATTCATAATCTTATCAAAGTCTTGAAATCATTTTCACATTTCTTTTCCTTGCAATCTTGTTCTCCATTGGTTGAATTGTAAGAATTCCAAAATTTGTTCGTGAGGATAATTTTCTTTCTTAATTGCATCGAACAAAGAAAACCTTCAGTTAAATAATAAATTACAATTAGAACCTTTTTTGACTTATATTTTCAAAATAACATGTAAAAACGATATAATCTCATGTACATCATTCAATGTTAACCAGTGAACACATGCACACACGTGGCTGATTATTAAATGGTATGTGCAAACATACATACATGTACCATCTAATGTGTGTGATTTCTTCAATAGTGAACAATATTTAAAGCAATGTAAAAGAACAACAATTTATAAAAGATGATCAAAACGAAAAAGAAATATGCTCTATGAAATAAAAAGAAAAAAAGCAATACTTTTTGTTTACATACCTCAGGCTAGAAACATCTAAACGACATTCATACATATGTTTATTTCTTTCAATCACATCATGATTTTCATGTGAACATTTAAACAAATAATGCTAACATTCAAATGACAACAAAACGTACGAAAGGCAAGTTTTTATCTATTCATTTATACTTTAACTTTATGTTATATTCAATAGGTTTTGCTTCACTTGATCTCGTTTTACCTGTTGCTCCACACTATCGTACTGATCCACAAGTACTCAAAGATGTTGAAAAAATGCGCACAAATGCAGCTAGTCGTTGGGCTAAATATGAATTTGCTCAAACACCTTCTGGATTTCATAATAATAATAATAATAATAATGATAATTCATCAAAAATAGCAGCATTAGCACGACCGAAAATAGAAGTCTTACGTGCTAATTCACCTACACTTAAACGTTTAATAGCTGCACGTATTAAACTTGAAAAATATGCTAATTCAACTGGACGTGCTATGTCTGCTAGTCGACAATCAATACGTTCAATACGTGAAACACCATATTTAACAGTTCATGAAAAACAATCATCCGTATTATCAAAACCTGTTCATGAAAAACAATCACCTACATTATCAAAATCAACTCATATACCATCACAACCATCTCCACCATCTTCATATCCAATTAAACAAATTAAATCTCAATCAAGTCTTGACAATGGACCACTTGATAAAATAACTTATGAAAAAACATGGACACGTAATGGTAATTTAAAACAAAAATGTTCATTAGAAATTTGGTTACCTAAAGCTGGTCTTGATGATGATGATGGACATACAACTCGAACAACAACACCAGATGTAAAAACAATTGAAAAAAATTCTCAAACAATGCCTATTATTAAAAGTCGTCGATCAAGTGTCGCTAAAATAACAGCAACAACAACAATAACTAATATCGAATCAAACTCATTAGATGAAGTATCATCAAAAAAATCTGAACCTATCGTTATACCACGTGTTTATCATTATGGAGATTATATTATGGATATACCTGAAGAGCGACCACGCTCAAGTAAAAGTGTTACAACAGTTAAATCAGATGGTGCTGCTTCAATTAAAAGTATTCGACGTCAACATACACGTCCACATACTGGTCGTCAATCAATATCAACAAGTCATAGTGAAGAAATTCTTCGTTTCGGAACAATAGAAGTACCAATATCAGCAAAAAATTTATCTATTAATACAAAATCAGCTAGTTCACATCATGAAACAAAGCCTACAATTAAATCTAGTAATCCATCCATGATTAATGAATTAATGCAAAAATATTCATTAATAAAAAAGAATCATCAAGAATTAACACAGGCGAAATTACATCTTGAAAAACCAAACAATGATTCAAAAAATAATTCAAATATAAATAAAGGTATTTAATACAAAATAATTATTCGTATCACAATTTTTCTTATCTAATTAGATCATTCACCACGTTCTCGACCACCTCCTGTACCTGAATCAACATCAATTGTTTCATCTGATCATCCAACAGTTTCTGTAAAAAAACTTCTTATTGATACATCAGTTTCACGTGTAACTAATGATCATAATAATATAAATACAAAACTTCTTGAACGTCGTTCATCGCCTCGTAAACCATCTCATCCGGATATCTATCCTCAATTACGTATTTTTTCTCTTGCTAATCAACAACAACATCGTCAATTATCAGCAACTGGATCTGTTGCTACTACTGCTCATTTACCAAATGTTAATGGAAAAAAAACTGACGATACACAACGTGCTTTACAACGTAGTAAAACACTTGATGTTGTCTTAGATATTCCAACATCAGCTAATGCATCATCACGTGCACGTACACAAGCAGACAATTCATCATCTAATCGAATTCACCGTACAACAAATGGAATAATTGAACAAACACCTTCACTTATTTCTAATCGATCTGCACTTAATATTTATTCTGAACACAGAAAACAACAACAAAATAGATCATCTATTATTCAAAATTATCGACAAAATCTTCATCGTTCACCAACAACCACAACCACAACAACAAGCGTTCCAACAAATAAAGTACTTGTTCATTTTAATCATAGTAATAATGGAAACATGGATCGCAATTATCTTGTACCTGAATAGATTTTCGTAGTTTATTCTTAATAAAATGTAAACATATAATTTTTAATGCTTATAAAAGACTCTACGATAATCTCTAATAGAGATACTTTTTAACGCAATCCCTTTGGGATGAAATGTTATATTTAAATGTGTTAATTAGTTTCATTATACTAATACAAAGTACAAAATATGCAAATCCTCTAAAAGGTAATAAATCTTTTTCAACAATAATCAATTGACAGCAAACGCTATATCCTTTTCATTTCCACATTTCAAACATAAATTTCGATCTCTTTCTTTTTGTCTGGCGCTCTTTTTTATGTTTTTACATCATTTTCATATTGTATCTACAGTAGATCTTAACAATCTATTATGTATTTCGATGAGTTCAGTAATACTGGCATTGATTATTCTCAAAAATTAAAACTTAATCTGTTTATGCTTTTGTTTTAGTCATATGACAGTGGTGGAAAATCATAACATCATCTTTGATATGTTGAATATAATCGTTTATCTGAACAAAAATCAGAAACAGCATTATTTAGAATATTGAAAAACGTATTACAGTCATCTAAGCTTCAAGAATGCTTCTGGAATGTTCTAGAACCTTCAAAGCCTTGTTATTGATATCTTTCAGGCACTTTAAATCCCACATACTAAAGTCTGTAGTGGGTAGGGTAGGTGACTTTTAGCCCTAGTTACTAGCGCCTAGGGCGATGAAGCGGCAAAAACATCGATTCAAATTTCCCATCACTATTACTTTTGTTCGAAAATATATGTGCATACCATAAAAAGTAAATTTTTTCGAATGATTTATTTGATACGTTTTTTTTTCGATACATACATACACACACAAATATATAGACAAGTAGAAGGGAAGATTCATATACACAGACCAAGTAAAAACACCTGTACATAATATTCTTTTCATCTAATTTTTAGATTCGAAACTAAGAAAACGATAGGGAGAGAGAGAGAGAGAGAGAGAGAGACAAAAAAAGCATAGATAAACAAGAACAAAAACCGAGTGCGAGTTCTGATTATTCAGAATAAATGTATTTAATTATGAATATCGACCATGTCAAGTAAAGTAGATACATTAAGATAAGTACAAACAGGCGATTGACATCGAATTGTATTTTCTATACCACCATAATAATCTAAAAAATTTACACCATTAGTTCGATTTCTAATCATACATTCAATACGTTCATCAGTTAGTATAAGATCATCAAATGTATCTTGATAAGAATTAATATTATGTGGAAGATCATCTTCTGGATGAGTATTTATATTAATAGAAGTTGGTGTTTCAAGAGCTAATGGTTCATCATATTGATCGTTATTATTATTAGTCATTTCTTTGAATGTGTTTCTTGCTGAAAGATCATTAATTGATGACGTACGACATATTCTATTACTATTATGATTAACAAGACCTAAAGCACGACGATGTTGTGTTGAAACTGGTGTTGTAAATTTATTTTTATTAAAACGAATAGGTGTTGTTATTGCCTCTGAACACATTTGTAAATCATTCATACTTGTTGTACCAATGAATTTGAGATGTTTATTATTACTATTTGAATATGAAGCTAAGTCATTCAATGTTGCAGATGGTAACATACCATTACGTGCTAAAGTTGAATTGAAATCATTTTAAAACATATGTATATAAGATTCTTGGATAATATCTTCGAAAATGATTACTCAATCTAGAAAGTTTTCGTTTTTTTTCTAACGCAATTCCAACATTTTATTGTTTACCTTTTGCTAACCAATACCTAAAAAAGACTATACTCCCTCCCCATAATTATGACAACCCTGACAATCTCGGTACACTCTTGAATATTCTAAAAACGATCGTTCATAAAGTGCCGACAATTCGAATTTAAGCAAATTTTTTTATTTAAAATCAACACAAAACTGTGCATTGAATAGTATACTTAATACTCAGATTCTGAATATGATGTTCATTTCGTCTAGAACTGAAGTTGTTTTCTTATGGTCAAAATATTTCAATCTATATCTGTATCTATGGCTCTGTTACTATCATATCAAATAAATCAACTATCACCGCAACTAAACAATATTTTTCAAAAAACATGTACAATTGTTTTTCTAACTAAATGACGTGTAAAACTGAAAATATTTGTATAAATATTGAGACTGTCGAGATTTAATACTTTGGGTGTATTTAACATTTTATAGATTTTTCTGATTTTTTTTAAACTTAAGTTCCACTACACAAATATAGTCTGAATATGCAGAAAAAATTTGCTCATATTTCAAATCGTCAGCACTTTATACATATTCAGTGCAAAATATATCCATAAAAGTTTAACTGTGGTGTTGTAATAAACGAGTAAATAACTCTAATGATTACTTGTATCTTATCGGTTTTTTTTGGTGTTGTTAATTCATTAAATTTAAATCAAACAAAACTTCATCGATTAGATCTTTCTTTATTAGAAAAAAAATATGCTGAAGAAAGCGTTACGATGTTTACCGTTCTTTGAAGACTGCAAACTTTACTTTTCCCTGTATAGAATAACAAACAAAAATCTGTTAAGGAAATCTGTGCAAGATTAAAGTGTGAAGTACGCTGCAACTGCTGTGACTAATCACAGAAAAATTGTTGCTTGGAATTAGAGCCCATCGGATTCAAAAGTTTTAGATCCGATCGGACCGTACTTTGATACTCTCAATGGAATTTTCTAATTGGAATTGAATAGTCTTCCCGAAGATACGAGATACTCTTTTCTGGCTTTTTTTATTCGTTAACAACCTCATCCTACACATTTCTCAAACGATTAGTACTTATCAAGTCCAAAATTTTCGGGCTCAACGGCTATTATTTCGGACAGATTTCTTCAATATCCTTTTACTTAATCGCTCAGAAATGCGATAAGAAAGTAGTTGGTAGATTATAACGAGACATTATTTATATACAGTCTCAGATCTTATAGTAACAAATTTTGCCACACACGCTGAGTAAGACGTTGCTTAGGCGTCTGTCACGATTTGTGATGAAGAAAAGACATTGTGAAGGATGCCTGTTATCTCTGTGAACATCCGAATGTCTATTTCTATACATCAACACTCTTGTTCGGATCGTGCTTTACAATATTGATACTTCAGCTCGTTTTTCTTGTGAACTAGATGACCTTTATTTGAATAATCGATATTTTCGTCATAGTACAAAGTTTTTTACTAATTACTCACTTGGTGTACGCAGTGGATTACGAAGTGGTGTTTTAAATAAAGAAAAATCACAACCATTCTCTTTAGTTCGTGCTGCCGTCGTCATTTTTTTTTTGTATGTTTATTAAAACTGAAAAAAACAGATCTAAAACAATCAAAAGGTCATCAATAGTTTTACTTCATACCATCATATTCGACCATTCTTTTTTTCCTGCATGATTTTTTAAATCATCTTATATGTTATACTGTAGTTGTATTTAGATCAAAAATATTTCAAGTTCTTATGAATGTATCAAATAAACCCAATACATCATTTATAGACGATAGACAACAGTTAATCTGAGGGTATATATACAAATAGAACACATATTCGTTTTCTTATTCCATAGACAAGACAAACTTTATCATAAAAAAAAATAATTAAGAATAAGCACACAAAGAAAATAGTCATGTTTAGTTTTTTCTTAATTTCATATTTATTGGTTCATTGGATCTGGTTGTGGTGATGGACCAGTTGCATTTGCGTCTTGTGTTGTTGGAACTGTCCCTGCTTGACCTTCAATAGCATTTGGAGCATTTAAACCTTCACCGGGTGGATCATATGAAATATTAAACATTTCTCGTACTTCCGACGATGATTTACCACGAACCATATTGGCAATTGTTTTACAACCAACAGCAAGTAATGTTTTTATACCCAAATAATTAGCTGCCTATTAAGAGCACAACAAAAATGAGTTTCATTTTGATTGAAGTATACTTTAAAAAAATTTACCATAATAATATCAAAGAGTGTACCTTCTTGAACAGTAAATTGTTTGATAAAATTTTGATCCCATTCACAAATATCATCCGAACTGAAATTTTATCAATTATATTTTAATTTATTTTTAAGAAAATAATTTCTACCGTTTAGGTTCATAAATATCTTTATTTGGATCGTCATCATCATCGTCATCAAGTGGTTCAGGTTTTGGATCATTTTTATGATGATTACAAAAATCAACAATCTATTGAAAAAAAAATAAACTTTTTGAATGGATTGAAGTAATAAAATTTTCTTTTTCAAACTAACCGGACCAAGAATTGATGCTTTGACATTAGGTAATGGGATCGGGACATCTCCAACATCCATTACTAAAAAAAGTAACTCAATAGGATCTATTCAAAAACATAAAAATAAAAAACTCAATAAATTTACAGTCAGATAATGTTTTAATAGTGGATGACTGTTCGACTACACCTTGATCAATTTCAAATACTTGTCCATCATTAGACTGAATTTTGATTATTTTTGATGATGCACTTTCTGCATTATTAGCTGTTGTCTTTGATGCTTGTGCTTCAGTAGTTGCCATGTTTCTTTAAAGATCTGAAAAACAAAAAACACAGCATATAAGATTCATGTATAAACTTGTTTTTTCTCTTATCAGAATGAAAACGTGTAGGCGTCCAAGACATCATGGACAAAAACTATAAAAAGGAAAAAAGAAAGGAAGAAAATGTAAATTTCATAACGTTGCGTAAAAAAAATGATGACGATAATGATGACTCAATACAAATGAAAAATGATAAAAAAGTATTGGATATTTATATGAAACAGGTTTTAGTTACAACAAAAGCATATATGATGACCCAGCCGGCCATATCAATAATATCTCGACGTGCGAATGACTCTTTCTTCCTTTCTATCAATAATAACGTATGGAAAAAAAACGACGTGATATTTAGAAAAATTCAAAAATAAAACGTTATTGATGTCGAATGGTTGGTTTTAAGTTAATAAAAAATAGGTAGATTTTGCTGTTCGATAATGTTCTTAGAACAATTTTTCACACTAAAATCTATATAAAAATCAAGAATTAAGAAGAAATAATCTTGTATTTTTAAACATAGATGGCGCTAGAATCCACTGTTTGCTATCGTAACTCGTCGTATAAGCCAACAGAGTGGCAGACAGCAGCGGCCGACTATATTTCTATTAACATCTTTGAAGTGGTGACGGCAGCTAAAATCAGTGAAAAAACCCAGCAACCATTGACGAGAACGGCTACAAATATTCAAAAATGCCGATAGCAATAGCCGTTCAACTGATAGAATTTAATTTCTTACGTTAGTTCGGTTTTATTGTTATTTTAGCAGCAATTTCATGTGAACTCTCTACAAAAAGCAGTCTTAGATAGATGAGCTAAACGAGTGAATTATATATATTCTATTATTCAACGTTGCACAATTCAGCTATGCATAATTATGCAACAAATCTTCTATTCTTAGCTTGAAAGAACACCCATTCTTTTAGTCATGTTAATAGAAACGTGATTTTATCCTAGTTAGAAATAACTTACATATAAATCACCACGAAAACAGTTTTTTTTTAATACAATTTTTCAGATTAGTTGCAAACATGAACTTGTATTTTTGAATGTTCTAATCAGATGTGAGAGATTTTTTCTAGAAAATTATCTATTCGGTATGCACAAGTTGTATAGATTTATAATCATATTCAACACATTTACGAATTTAATGTATTGTACAAAAGATGTTAAGAGAGGCTTCACAAGATCAGCACAGTTGCCGAAAAAATTTTTTGGTTTTCAAAGGCATTATCTAGTTTGAGAGAGTATGAAAAGTCAGTGAAGAATCTCAATTTGAACCACATTCTGACGAATCTCAGATCGAATGTAATAGCTTCTAAAGGGTCGTAATCGTAAAGGGTATGAAAACGGTGAAAAACAGCTACGATTATGATGGCCATTTGAAATACATCGGACAATGCCTCAATAATGGGGTAAACAGTGGCATTTTACAATAGCCGTTTAAGATCTACTGGAATCAGTGATTCTTAGTACTATCGTTTTTCGTCGTTACTGAACCTTATTCCGTCTTTTCATAAAAACTCCTTGTTTAGGTGTCATACAATAGATGCAAAGGCATGCATCATTTCTTTTTTTCCGAAGTCTTCTAAGAAAAGTTATTTATCTATCGAAATCGCAGCAACTGCTATTTGAATATAGCCAGAGGTTCTCACAAGATTTTTTACTATCAAAGTTGGGGTTTTTAAAATCTTCGGCATTACTTAGACATCATCGGATCTCCCTTTTTACGGGATAAATATTGTTGTTATCTTTGAACTATGATGCAACTTATATATTTTTTTATCAGCTGTTCCTGATTTAACATCTTTGCCTGTTTCATTACACATGCTCAAGTCGATTATTCTGTCCTCCGGAAACGCCGTCTTATCTGGCTTGAAACAGTTATAAAGTGACAAATTACGGCATTAATTTTGATGTTATTTCGCCATAAACCGTCTCATACTGTTTTACGCGATGTTTTGACTGCTGGAAAGCGGTCATCATTCTTCCCTAATTTTGCTCCCATAATTTGGTATGACAGATTAGGGCGTCGTTTTTCGACGTTTTCCATGGTCCTGGGAAAAGCTAAATTATAAACTTGTAATTATAAGGCACAGTTTTTTATGCTTTAGTCTCATTAAGGGGGTTGTTTTGAGTATAGAAGGTGTCACGTAAATAAACAATAATTCTTTAAGATCAGAATACAAGTCAGTGTGAAAAAAAGATCAACATGCAGACTTCACATCCATCCATGCATCTAATGAAGGTATTGTGTTAGAATATAATATAATGTGCTAGAGCACTAGATTGATTGATGATGTTGGAATGAGGATTTGAAACCAGATTGAGTAAAATTTTATTGAGATGTTGATACTTTCTCTTTTTAGCAACTGGTCCGCCGGTACTGACTCAAATAATCTTTGTGTAAATATGTAAATATTTTTCTAATATTAGTTTTTCGATAAACATCTATAGAGTTAGACGTGAGCGTTGAAAAAACATTTCCTGAAATCAGAACATTATTCAATAAAACAAAAAAGACGTTTATTTCATATCTACACATACTGATCTCCTGTTTCAGACCGCAGCTGAATTCTGAATTTTTATCCATAGATTTTAACATAACCGATGAATATTTCAGAAGGCAGTAGTCAATAACGGTCGTGTGCGTGAGTCTTTAGCACGGAATCGACTTATATAATTATCTATGAAGTAATCTAACATTCCTTGAAATCTATCACCGAAATTAATACTAAGTTATGTAAATACATCAGTAACATTATCTAGATGAATAAAAGCTAACGCTGTACGGTTATGAATGGTATGAGCAAAATCAAAGTCATCTTCATATTGCTTTGTCAAATTTCGTATATGACATAATAGGTAAGTAATATGATCAAAATTATATATTTTACTATCATATCTGTTGCCCTAATCGAACATCTTGTCAGCAAAATCTTGAAAAGATATTTTACATGTATATATCTTGGCCGTATCAAAGAAATCTGTACCCAAGATCTTGGCAAGATCTTTTCAAAGATTCTTACAAGTCAAGATTTTAAAAAAAGATACTATGTTCTATTATCTTTCCCCAAGATCTTAACAAAAACAAAAGTGACACCATTAGTTTATTAACATATTTTAAAATTATTGAACTGTTTGGAACTACGCTGAAAAACTGTACCATATAAATTTGTTAGCCTCGCTCATATTTATGAAATTTAGCAATTGTGGGGGCAATTGAAAACCAATAGAATAAAAGCAATGAAGAACAAAAATGGAAAAAAAAAGATTATTCAACAGAAAATTTATTAAGTAGTAACGATGCTTTTTTAGCTCGATCTAGCATGAATTCAAGAAATATTCGTATTTTATAAGAAGACCATTAGTGTCTCGTTACGATATTGAATGTTTTACAACTAAATTTTTTCAAAAAAAAAATTTTGTTGAAGAACAATAAAATAAACGGCGTTTAAATTTTAGTCAAATATTGTATTTAGATAAGTCTTTTAAGTTCTTTCTTTCTGTAGTAACTTTTATAAGACATTTTAGAAATAAAAACTGTTAAATTCATTTTTATTTCTAGATTTTTTAAAATTGTTATTTAAATTATGAAATGAAGATTTCTTACATCTATAAAAATCGGTTTGATGTCATCATTATCATTTGATAGATAAAATTCAAGGCGAATGATGATTCAACATAATTAAGAACAAAAAATTAACATTCTAAAAAGATTAGAACCGATATTCATGAAAGCAGAGACTATCAGTTTTTCTACACTGTAGCTACTTTTGATTTTGAATTTGCATAAATAAACATATTTTTACAGTCTTAAAATTGCATATATAACTGAAAACTCGTTGCATTCTTATAGTTCGTGGTTTTTAAAAGTCGTTTAAAGGGAATTCAGTTCGAATTACATGTTCAGATAAATACTTTCCACGACTGAAAGTAAATTAAAAAGTAGGATTTTTACAGAAGATATTAAAAATCCTAATTATTAGTATGAAAGATCTAAGGACGAGGCAAAACAACCAGTAAAAACTATCAAAAAAGACCAGATATAAAATTCAAGATATTAAATATATGTACTCAAGATCTTATGGATCTGTATCCAAGGTCTTACGAATTTGTATCCAAGATCTAATTCAAGATCTTGGTACAAGATAATATGATTATCTTGTACCTAAATTTTCAAGATCTATTCAAATTTCTATACCTTATATCTTGGCCAAGATCTTGCTTACAAGATGTTCGACTAGCGTAATAATACCTATCGTTGTCGATATATATTTTGGCTTACAGATGAAAATAATACCTAGATCAAGATGCTTGTGAAAAAGTATCTGAAAAAAACATTCATAATTACCTTATCGAAGTCTATCATCGTATCGTGAGAATTCCATGTTGGAGTGAATTTTACTATTTTATTTATCATTTGTTGATATGTGGTGATTTTTTTTCGCTGAAGTAAACAGAATGTTACGGGAATAACATGGTAACGAAATAGAGCATGGATTACATGTAATAAGCAAAATATTTCTAGAACAATCTATATCGAAACAAAACTTTTCACTAGTATACTAGAGCTCATTTTCAAAACATAAAATAATTAGTAGGCCAGCACCTAAACTGAAATATTGATGTATGCTATTTATCGAACTCTCTAGAACAAATTTAATATTCAATCATCAATGGAAGTGTCTATGACTTGCCTCGACCTGTATCAATAAGAAAGGAATTTTCATTTCATTTTATTGATTGTAAAATTATAGGAGTACAAGTAAAACCAACATCATTTGTTATTTATGGTATTTCGTTTATTTTTTCATATTTTCGAATAGTTCTTCTAGCATGATGTAATGATGACAACCGTATATCTGTTGAATCAGAGAATTTTAATATTCATCGCTCTAATACAGTTTATCTTGTTTCTTGATTATTAGTTGCACGATCAGCAACATTTTCATGAAATTTTCTAAGTAAAATTTTGACTGAATCACGAACACAAACTGCTGTATGATCATACTTTTGTTTTAATATCTAACAATTGTTTTAGCAGAGTGTGGACGTGGGTTTGAGTGTAAATTTCAGACGACCCACCCTTTCCCGTCAACATACGTGAAAGAATGCCAACTTTACGATAGTAAAAGCTGCAAAATACATATTTTAAACTGTCTGTATTTACAACATTTGATCAGACGCAGAAATACAGTCAATATTTTAATAGTAGCATGAATAGTTAGTATACAATCCGTTTGTTGTACAATACGGCTATTCAAATCAATCTTTAAAGTATTCGTGAATGAGACTGTGCTTGCAATGTTTTCACACCATAAGCTATGTGAAATGCGCTATGAAACCGGCTTTTACAGACTGGCGCTACACAATCCATGCAGTCATGCTCACCGAATAAATTTTAACTATAGAGTAGTATTTAGTATTTAAGCCCGTTGTATACAGTGGTTTGAGTACGAGAAACCGCCAAACATTATGCGACAATGCTTACACCTAGGTGCGCTGCGTGCTTCTGCCTCATTTCGTCTTACCAACAAATTTTGCATAGGCTAATCAGCGTCTTTCATGTTTTTGTAATACTCCTCAACTATTTTAATGACATAACACGAGCTCCAGACAGCTCTAATAGGTACTCGCTTAGGCATAAGAAGCCGCGTGGAACTGTCACAGGCGACTGGACTGTGTACCGCGTGTCTTGATTTGGGTTGAGGATAAAAAGAAAAACATATGGTTAGAAAAGTAAATTCGTGAGAAGTTAGACACAATTGGAATAATCTTTTCCATATTAGTGAAAGCATAAGGTATCAATAGTAGTTGAAAAATACATTATTTTCGTTCATTGGGAAACCCGTGTAATATTAACGACGAAAAAGCTTGACAGTCATATGTTTTTACGGAGGGGTAGGGGAGGGGTGTGGGCGAAGGTGAAGTGAATCGCCTCTCATTCAACGACAAATATCCCATGACAAAAACTACACCCACATCAACATCATATGTTTTTCTAGAGTTATTTGGTATGCTACACCGAAAGAGCATCAAGCCAATGGAGTAACCATGATATGTGTTCATTACAAAGTATGACCCCAAAAGACATGTATCAGTTGTTGAGGTTTCCTTGTAAGTGATAATAAAGAGGACGATAATTGTAATGACCTCCATTTCAGCGAGAAAATGATATGCAATATGAAATATTTTCTACCAGAGAGAAATCTAAGTTCTTGATTGCTACAGTCAACACACTAAAGTAAAATATTTGCAGACTGTGCCACGAAAATGCCTCATAGTCCTGATTTATCGTGATCAATTGACTAATCATTCATTCATCGTTTTCTTTTACGCATATAAGTGACATATAATGAAGATGATGAAGCATACTAAACTTAAATATTTTCATACATCTTTTTTTTCCACACTATCTTTCGATTAACCTTTAGTCAAAAACCTATTGAGATATCGACCGATGATCGAGATTAGACCACCTCTACGTTGTCTAATTTGGACAAAATCTACTCAAGAAGGTTGAATCTTAGGATTGTATCATCTTGAACTCCAATAGTAGATACTTATAATTTAAATAAAATTGGGAATATAATAATTGTTCGGTTTGACAGAAAAAAAAACAGACATGCCGAACGGCAAATTCGAGCCACGTTTTCAGGATGTGTCGAAAGTTGCTTGAGAGAAATGTATCACAGCAAGCATCTCATCTCTCACTTTCGTGTGACGTACATTGTATCGCAAATTACGATACATGCAACATATTTTTAGTAGTGTAAATACATATTGTTTGTGAATATATTGTAGCAAAAATATTAAAAGGAAAAACAGTTGTTGATCTTTTTTTGGCAAAAACATTCTTTCGAATATATCCTGAAGTGCAAATAAAAAACAGATTTTTTTTCTGGTTTCAATATAGATATTTTCTTCAACTAAACGCATTCCTATTTATACGCACACCCTCAATCCATGCCATCTATTATTCTTAATATTTTCAAAAACAAAATTTACCCGCACGTCTTTCTATAGATTCATTATCGTTATTCATAGATTTCGATGAGAACTATCAATGTACTTACAATACAGTATGGAACTATCTGTTGAAGTCAACAAAAATTCCCATGCCACCATTTAAACATATACGTCCCGATCCCCAACATAGAACTGTTTTGAGTATTTAAAAAAAAGCATGCCCTCTCACTGCTTTCCGTGGTTTCTTTTGCATCATTTGATAGGTCTTGTTCAGATCTATGCACTGATATGAAGTCCATAGTGGACTGCTACGATTAGAGAAGAGTAATAACAAGGAAAGGTCCCAACTGATCCAAGCAGTTTACAATGTTATTTCATCCAGAGATCAATGCTGTCAGTTGCAACTTGTTCTTTGCATCATAAAGTATTACAATTCTATTCATGCAAAGTAACAGAGCAGTAAATATTTGAAAAACCTTCGTCTAACAAATCAGTTAAAATTCAGGATCGTATTACTCTATAATAATCTAATTTTTTCTTCATTATATTTATGTAAATAATTTAGTTTTGTTTTTTCTATTGTTTTATTTTTCCATAAATAAAATGTACATCATAATTAAACGACGAATGAAGAAAAAAACAAAGAATCGATGTACAAAATAAGATTCATTCACTGTTTTACAAGTAGCATGCGAAACAAGAAATTAGTTTCTCTTTTCTCTCTCTCTTATTTTCATAAAAAAAGGAAGTAATATACCAATAAAAGAACAATTTAGTTATGTTCCAATGAAAAGAAGAGGAATGTATGGATGTGTTTAGATGCTAGGCAAAATATGCACCGAGTTTATGTTGAATACGGATGTAAATGTGTTATGTCACTTCAGCATTAAAACGTCGATGATTGGATAAAGGAGTTTTTGGTACACCAAAATTCATGGACAAACCAAGTAAATCATCTTGAGGATTTCGAATTAAACATGGTTCTGATTGTGAACGTTGTAAACGTGGAAATATAAATTCAAATTTTGATAATGTATCATCAATCTAATAAAAAAAAAGCATTATATAAAAAAAAACAATAATTTTCTTTCAATTAAAAGAACCTCAGGTGAAAAATTTGGTCGTTGTTCACGATGAAATTCTGTGCATTGACGAATTAATTCAACTATGGCTTCAGGTGTGTCATGACGACATTGTTCGACTTTTAATTTTAGCCGTCCTTTTCCAACGAGCCACATAATCTATTAAATAGAATAAATATTTAAATATGATCATTAATTTTATATTCATATCTATTATTTGTAGATCATTAAATAAAATGTTCTCGAATTCATGTTATGTTGACATGACATTAAGAGCTCAAGTAAATATAATGATGCTTATGGTTTATCTGTTAAGAACTCTTCTTTCAAAATAAATGTCCTACTTAACATGGTTCATTTGAAATGAAATTTTCAGGAAAAAGTGGTCCTAATGAATAACATTTTTGTTTAAAATTTCAGCTAAACATATCAAATTAGGCTGAACTTCTTGCTTAATTCTAGGTCGTTTATGGCTTCTAAGAAAATCTCTATGGTTGTCATCTTTTTATTAGAAATACAAAACCTCAAATAATTTCAAATGAAAACCAATACTTATAGTTTGTTTTTCTCCAAACAAAATTTTGAAATTCATTTTCGTTCAATTTTGATCAGTACCTTAGTGGACTTGGTGTTGAGATAAGCATAAAAAAAGGTGATCTTATGATACTAAATTTCACTTTTCTGAATACAGAAAGCAACCATAAAAACAACATCTAGTAGAACAAAAATTTACTTTTATTTAATACTCTCAAAACAAAAACTCGCATGGGAACAAGTTCCGATTTGTCTTACTAGAAATCATGTTGTGAGCCAGAAATTATAAAAAAAAACGCAAAAGTTTTGTTGTTTTAAAACTATAATAATAGAGTCTAAACTTTTTTTCCTCTCAATTTATTAAAAGCTAGCTGTTTTGCGAACGATCACATATACATAATGCAAAATCAAATTTCTGTATATTTTCCTATGATAAAAAATTCATTCTACTAAAATGTTATCCAGATTCAAGCATGTAACTGCGATCATAACGATTAAAACTGGTGAATGCGTCATTTTTCTTTGATACAAAAACTAACCTGTTCTTTGTTACTGATTGGTGCATGAGGTAATTTGCCACTAAACATTTCAAAAAGTACACAACCATATGCATATACATCAGAACTAGTTGAATAACAGTTTGGATCTTTTTGTTGAATGACTTCGGGTGCCTTTAGAAAGAGACAAAACAATATTTAGATTTATACATTTATTGAGAAAAAAAGAATTATGTGTACCATCCAAAGAACTGAACCAGTTGGTTGACATTGTTGATTTATACCTTCGGCTGGAACAGTTTTAACAGCAGCTAAACCAAAATCACCTATTTTCACGCGCCAACTAATTCCAACATCATCAGTTTCAGCACACATATCCAAAAAGACATTACTTGATTTAAGATCACGATGTATTATTTCTCGATCATGTAAATATCTTTTAAAGAAAAAAAGATAAAAAATCTTTTTTTGATTAATCAAATCAGCTTACGACATTCCCTGACATATTTGTCGTGCAATATCAATTAATTGATTAATTTTCCAATGACGATCAAGTATATGAATATGTTTATACAGTGTTGAACCCTTAAATAAATAAAATTTATATATATATTGAATAATTAAATCTCGTATTCTTACTTCACACCATTGTGTTACAATAGCAAAACGAGGTGAAAACATGTATCCATAAAAATTTAATGTATTTTGATGAGTAATTTTTCTATATAAAGAAACGAAAATTAAAATAGAAAAATATTTGATGATTAAACAAACTTTAACGCAACAACTTCATTGCGAAATGCTTGATATTGAGTTGGTGTTGGTGAAACGAAATTTAATTCTTTCAATGCAACCTGGCCTAGTTATTAATTACAAAACATATGATGATTCTATTGTTTGTTGGTTGTTTTTATTTACTCATACCATGTAATCTCAACTCCGCTTTATATACAGTACCATAAGTGCCTCTGCCTACCATTCTTCCATGATTGAGCAAATCTTCTGGTCGAATTTCCCATTCACTGACATATTTCTTTAAAAAAAAGAATTTCATTTTCTTTTTCACATAATACATTGAAAGAAACTTACATGTTGAGGCTTTTTCGTATCAATAACACCGTTACTATTAGGTTTAGTCATACTGGGTCGAAGACTTTCTGGACTTGCCAAAGCTGAACCATTAATAGCTATTATTAAAAGAAAAATAGAAAACTTTTGGAATTCTATAACGGAAAAGCCAAATGTGATGTGAAATCAATCCAAGGTAATCAAAAAAAAAAGAGATAATCAAATAAAGTGATTGATAGAATTCATCAGTGTAATTTGTTTTCAATACATAGAAATCTTACTCAGTAATAACTGAGGAATGTGATGAATAGGTGATGTTGCTGATGGCAATGATGATGATATGACTGTTGATGGTGGTTGGAAGAGTGAATTCGATGATATATTCATCGTCGATTGTATAGCATTCGAAAAGTAACCAACATTTGCTGTTGTTGGCAGTGGACTACCATGCGAATCTTGACTGATGTCCTTTTGTGGACCTGTCAAGGTATAAACTGATTTATTGCTTAGGGAACGGAATAAATAAGTGATAGAAAACGAAAAAATAAACACCACCAGAAATGAAATATGTGCCATCGATAGATATAGGGTGTTTTGGGAAATTAAAAAAAAAGCAAAAACTAAAATAATAGATTCTTTTCTGATCTACCTACGCCACATATGCAGTAACATCTGCAGAGATGGTTAAAAATAGAATATAGACAGAGAGAAAACAAAAACGTTCAAAATACAAAAACAAAACAAAAACAAAAACAACCTCTTACCAACTCCTTGAGTTGTATTTATACTTGGTCTCTAGAAAAAAAAACAAATTTCAATAAAATTATATTTTTTGAAAAATCGTTATACTGATGATGGAATTCGAGGTAAACTGCGTGATTGTTCTTTGTTTCGTGATTGAGTATTTGTTCGATCCAGATTAAAACGATCCGGACCAAGCTGCTTAATGTGTCTATTAAGATTAAAAAGAAAAAAAAAAAAGAAAGACGAATAGTAGATTTATTTGTTAACTTTTCAACAACGGAAAAAAAAAAGAATACAAAACACATACTGAAGAATAGGATGAGAACAAACAGGTGCTTTTGAATGACAACCATTATGATAATTATTTCCACATGAAACACAACGTTTATAAGCTTCACGAATACGATGATGACAAACAATACAACGAATATTAGTAAATACAGGAAAACGTGGTGTTGGAATAGTTTCCTATATTGATACATAGATACGAACATCAAGCTTTCACAAATATAAAAAGCAAACATTTAAATAATAATAATACCGAATAAAATCTTGATGGACAATATGACATATATGTGATTTATGTATACATCGAGTATGTATACGAGAACCACATACAAGGCATCGTAGTCCTTGTAATAGTATTTTGTGACATACGTCACAATAAGTTAACGTAAAAAATCTTTTTCTTATCTATGAAAATAAAATATTATTTATAAGAAAAAATTCATATATGTTCTTTTAATCAAGTTCATAAAGAGCTTAAGGAGTAAAGCTATTTAAGCTAAAAATATTAACTTATTTTATTAACAAAAGCTAAACAGATATTTTCTATGTTAATGTATGACGTCAATGTTAAACGTCAGGCGTCATGAAAAATGAATACAATTTTAATAATTCTTATAGATTCTTATTTTTAAAATGTAGAATATAATACATACAAATGAATGATCAAGTTTAGGATTTTCTTCAAGTTCAATTTCTGTTTCACGTAAACGATCAAGAGTAATATCCCATGGACATGGTTGTCTTTTTAATAAAAAAAAGAGAAAAAAGTATTTGACTAGAATAACAATATATGAAACTATACCTTGAAATCATATAAACAGGTGTATAAGCTCGTAAATTAGTTACTGAATGTCTTGAAGCACGTAATTCAAGTGCTACTTCAAGTGTTTCATCACTCCTTGGAGCAAGCTAGATTTAAAAAGAATTTAAAAAAAAAAACTATTTAAAAAACATTTCAATCAAAATTTACAGCAGTTGTGTGTTTATTTGGAAAATGAACACGAATAAAATTATTTGGTGTCATACTTGGACTACGTGGTCGTTGTGGAGAATCTATTGATAATGGATGATAATTATTTTTTTTTTGGTTGAATGATTACTTAGAGAAGATATGTTTATACCTGAATGTATTGATGATGTTGACGATGTATGTGGCTGATGAGTTCTCTCCGGTGGTGATGAACGATTTGATTGAGATATAGTTGGAGAATATTGTAATTGTTGTTGAAATTGATTATTCGTTGAAGAAACATCATTAGATGATGATGAACATGGAAATGCTTTTTCAGTATTTTGACCTTCAAGTTCATGAAGATATTCAGTTAATGTATCGCGTGCTTTTGTTAATGTTTCGATACGATCAGTTAAACGTTGAAATTCCTTTTAATGGGAGAAAAACAAACAAAAATGAAAAATTTTCTTTTTGTTTTCTTACTTGCATATAAAATGGTGGTCGCGTTTCACGAAATGCTAAATTATAATTATTAACATCAGCTGTAAGATGTTTAAGCATTTTCATTAAATCATCAAGAATTTGTTGACATTTTTGAGGATCTCTATCACGTTTTCCTTCTTCAATTTTATCGCATATTTTTCGATGAAAACTATCTTCTTGATTTGTTGACTGATGCAGCTGCTTGTACGAATCCATTGGAACCGTGCTGCTATTGCTGCTTGTAGCACGATTTGCTTGAAGAACCAAAGCCATGAAAACGAATAAGTACTATAGTTTAATCATCTATATAATACTAATCAAAATAATAAACAATAAATAAAATAGCTTTACTTTGATATGCAAAAATCTTGTTTAAAATATCATTTGTATGAATATCTACAATATGAGTCAATGATTAAATGGCAGTTGTCAAAATAAAACAAAAAAATCATAGAAACAAGAAGTAGATAAGGTATTATATTACTCTCTAATGTACTTTTTTTTCGTTGTCAATACAATTATAGCAGTAATAAAATGTGTATATGTGTGAGAAAAAAAATAGAAATAAAAATAAAAGAAGGCAAGAATATAAGCGAATGATTAAAGTAAATTCCATGCATATTTTTTGAAGTGTCAAAGAAAAAACCTCGTATACAAAGAAAGACAACAAGCGTTGATGTCCTACATAGTCGTGAAGCGAACTTCCAACGAAGTACCGCTGTTGCAATTTCCTTCCTCTTTCTCTCGCCAATATCTGAAAAGGTGCGATGAGTGTTAGAGTAGCTGGTCTATTCTATTTTTATTTTTATGTTTTCTATATTAATTCAGTTCTCCTTTTTTTTTCCTGCACAAAGAGGAGGACAGACAAGTAACAATTGCTTATTAATAATTCATTATTTCATTGAAGAGGAAAAAAAGGACATTCATGAAAGCATGATTTCTACTATTACAAAGAAAACATTAGTACTAAATAGAAATAAATAAATTCTATTCAGATATATATTTATATGACAAAATGTACTTGTATATTTTCATTAAAGATTATACTTTAACCAAATAAATTCATAGAATATAAATATAAATATACATACATATAGAAAATAATCTATTCTAGTTTATTTCATTAAATAAGCAAACGTCTTTTTTATAGACTGACACACAATCATTCGTTTCTTTTTCTGAAACCATTAGTAGTAACTTTTGTACTTTTTCGTTCTTTGCAACATGCAAACTGCTAGTTATATCTTTCTTTCTTTCTTTCTTTTTGTTCCTTTATATTCTGTGTCATTTTTCTCTCTCAATTGTATAAGTCATTCGCCATTATGCGGACGACGACGGCATGCGGTAGTAGAACCTTGAACAGCTCAAGGGTCGAGCAACATCGATCATCGAGGGTTTCGTATTACATGCAAAAAAAAAGAAAGACGAAGCAGAATAAAAAAAGAAAACACATGAGACACATGCGTAATATTGTTTGCTACTCTATCACACTAATGATGCGCATAGACGATAGAGAATCCTATTCAGTACACCTTCATCAAAATGTTAGTCTTTTATTGTATCGAAAGAAAAAAGAACAATCTTTTAACATGGCTTCTACTATTTTTATGTCAATTGAGACTAATAAATGACATGTAATCAAAGGTGATTATTAAGATTATTGAAAAAGGAAATAACAACTTAAATAATAACATATAATTAGTCTGCTAGAATGAAACTCACTTATATGTGAATATGTTTAATCATAAAATGAATATGATGTATTGATACACTCTTTTTTCCTATTTTACAGTTATTATTCATTCGATGATTAGCCAATTGATAGTTGGTTGAATGATCAAAAAGAATAATAATAACAACAACAACAACAACAACAACAGCAAGAATATATATGCACTATTCGATCCAGTTATTGATTTGTTTAGAAAAGACAACCAATCGTATGATAGAAGACATTAGAGGACGCTATTGACTTATATTCTAAAGTTTAATAGAAAAGTAATCTCATAAAAATATTTAGGTTGATGTTTAAGGGTTTACCAACAGAAAGAAGGGAAGAATCGCACTTTCTATTTTGAGAAGATTTTCATTTTTTTTCCTAACAAACATTTTTCTTTATATTGATAAAAAGAGAATCGTAGAACGACAAAGAAAAACACCTTTTTGTCTCATACACTTTTTAAAATATTAGGAATGTATTTTTCCAGCTGTCAGAAAGGTTTTCGTGTCTTACCATGCTTCTAAAATGTTCTTTTTTCTTCACCACATCCCTTATTGATTTAAGTCATTTTTTAAGACGATGAGAACATAACCATAATGTTTTGATGATAAATATATTTAAAAATAAATTTATAAAGAAAATTTGATTTTTGTAAAAGTCTACTATTTTAACTACAAGCAGAGTTAAGTAAAATTTTCTTAGGTATGAGCAAACATAGACTTTTGAATCAGTAATTTATTACTGTTTTCGAAAATTTTCGAATTCGAATAGTCTACATGAAATTTTAATCAAACTAGAACTATCTTAAGTTTTCTTATCGCTAACGTTCACGTTTTTTTTATTCCTTTAGTTTACTCAATTACGATAGGCAGTAAGTCAAAGATAGATGAATATGTTGTTTGTAGATAGATCAAAAAATTTATAAGACAAGACAGCAATCACCTTGACACTTTTGTTTTTGTTGCCTATGTAACATGCACCATATTTTGTCTTAATTCCATTTGATCATTCTCTAACAAAAAGAGTAGAGTGCGTTTTTTTTTAGTATTTTATTTGAATAACATATGTGAATTAAATAATACTATCATGACTAACAAATATTTTTTCATAGAGAAGAGACCTTGAAATTATTCTTCATCGACATCCGACATGATTTTCTGATGCATTTCAACTTCTAGATTATTTAACAATATTTTTTCGGAAAAGCTTTTTTTTTTTGTTTAATCTTAGCCGATTCGACCGTTCTGAACTTCGGTCTTCTTCATATTCAGATAGAGCAATAAATATTTACATTTTTCAATTTACAAGAAACTTTTCGAATATTTGCGGATATAAAATATGAAACTGTTTTTGTAAATCTTCTAATACTTAAAAACCAAAAGTAAAACTACCAAGTGGTTCGTACACTTATGAGAATAACAAAGCACTCAGTAGGCAAAGTTAGAAATATTCAATGTTATATATGAAAAAGATTTTAGGAAACAACAATTATCATCTAGCATTAAATATTTTATTGTCAACTATATTTTATAATTCAGTATTTTGCTTTTATTTCTAATGAAATACTAAATTAAATCAGGAGAGATTGTGTTATTCATTTATTAATTAAATGATGAAAATCCTATATTATTTAGGACAATGGGAATAACCATTTAATTGAATTGGGAAATTCTCGTTTCCAAAACCATTCTTGATGTTGACCATCAGCAGCAACAATCATTGTCAATTGATTCTTATCATCTCTATATTCTTTTGTTGTATTTTTTAATAAATTAACCATTCGTTGAATATCACTAATCATTGTCGAACTTTCTAATTGACCTCCAACAAAATAAAGTCTAGGTGGTGAATTTTTGAAACGATGATTTTGAACATATGTGTAAATATCATTTGTAAACCAAAATGATGGACTAAAAACTCCAATTAATCCAAATATATCTTCATGCCGTACAGCAGCATAAAAACTACAAAGACCACCAAGTGAACTGCCTAATATTGCAGTATTTTCACGTTCAGGTTTTGTACGAAAATGACTATTTATATATGGTCGAAGTTTTTCTACAATAAAATTTAAATAGTTATCAGCTTGACCACCACCATAATTTGTATTTGAAAATGGTGTTAACTCATTAATACGTTCTGAACCACCATTATCAATACCAATAACAATTAACTCTTGAGAAAGTGTGTCAAGACTTTCATCAATACCCCATTCACCAGAAAATGATGTGCTAACATCGAATAAGTTTTGACCATCATGAGCATAAACAACTGGATAACGTCGATTTAAATCAGTTGAATAACTACGAGGAAGATAAATCCAAATACGACGTGTACGAGGAAAATAATTCCACATAGAAAAATTTGTATCTAAGATGTAAACTTGGTTTGAAGCTGTATGAACACGACCGAATGTATCGGACCATTGCTCGACTGATATATCAATCGATTGAGGACTATTCGACTAAAGAATATATGAAAAAGCCTTTAATAAAAAATTCATTGAAATTGTAGAATTTTATATTTTACAGAATCAAGGGACGGGACATAGACGAAAATATTTTAGTCCATTTTGATTATTAAGACCCACTCTAATTAAACCATATATAGAATGAAAGATTATGAGCTCCCGATCAATTCGGCTCCTAATTCGAAATGTTTTGAATAGATTTTAGGTGCAACCTCGGTTGACTTTTGTCAAATACTAAAGTAAAATTGGACCATTATTGATAGCCAATAGAATGTAGCGTCATTTGAAAGAAAACAAATAGAGCTCAAGTTAAAAAGTTATTCTGGTTGGCTCTTGTTCCAGCTATGTTTTTATATTAAAATCATTCATTGAAAGAAAAGACTTCGATTTCAATAGATTGAGTACGAATCTTCCTTATTTGTACTTGGACTTTATATTATGCATGATCATCATATTTGACGTTTTATTATTTTATAAGTGGAACTTTCACCCAGTTTCGTCCACTTCGTATTTCATTGAGATTTTCAAGCACTACAAAACTAACTACTTTTCAAGATCTAAAAAAAAAAGTAGACACTTAAACTCACTATGCTTGGTGTCTAATTTTCGGCTTTTTTATTTTTATATCTTGTTTAGACTCAGCACTAAAATCCGAATATATTAATATATATTTCAAACTTGGTCTTCAGTTAAAGTGTTATTCTTGATTGTCATCAAGGACAAATGAAAAATGATTCTTATCAAAAATTCATTTCGACAGTGGAAAACAAGTTCTCAATTTTTAAAATATAATTTGAAAACAAAAAAAATAGTTGATTTGATTAGATTCATTTTTTCACACATCTGTGAAGGGGATTCAGGTGTGAAAGTTTAATCGGAAAAAACGTGACAGAAAATGTTTGAAACATAAATAAATCGACTCTGTTATAAGGTGTCAATTTCAAAGCTGATATTTGTTTGGAGTTTAATGGATATTGTTCTGCTGGAAAGTCATCAAATATCAGTTAAAAGCAGTTAAAAATTGGGTCTCATGAATACTAAACTTTAAATTTTGTTGTGTGGTGTACTTTTTAGCTCGTAAAAATTAGTGCGTTTTGTAGTACTTGAAAAGTTCTATCGAATAGAAAGTAAACAAATTGGATAGAAAGTTTAGAGAAGCAAAATGCAAGCCACACAAGATTTTATATACGGATCAAAAGGTTCAATTCTATTATGTGACAATGTAATCCAGACAAAGATTTATCAGAATAATTGTAAATCACTCTTCATCTTTACTACTTTTGTTTCAAATGAATGCTCATATTGTTAACTATAATCAATGATTAATTGTCTACTTTAGTGCTTCATAAAGTAGACTTTGTTCACGCCTATAATTCAAATATTTCAAATTTGACGTCTATACAATCGGAAACTTGTGATATTTTATTTTATATCAGACTCAAATACATTGAAGCTTGTAAATCAAAAAATGAGCTAAAATACCCTCTGGCGGCCTCCTGTCCTTTTAATTATCTAACTTTTAATCTAAAAAATCCCATGCAATTATTTTCTTTCTAAAGAAAAATAAATCCTTAAATTTATCAAAAACAATATTTAAGCCTATCGAAAATTTGATATGAATGCACTTTTTGAGATATTGATTTCAAAGTAGTCAGCATTAGAAAAAATTAGGAAATAATAAATTTTAAAGATTAATATATGTAATATGCGATTTGGTCTCAAAAAAAAATTCTTTTTATAATCTATGTGCTGATACATACGAATCAAAACAGACAGAAAATATTCGATTTATAAATTAGAATGTGATATTTCAAATGAAAAAAACAACAAAGCTTCAAAGAAATTTTTCTTTCATAGGAAAACACACAGTTGAAAAAAGTTTTTCGTAGTTTTTTTCTATTGATATCTGAAATTCGATTTTAATAAAGACTATTTTATTTCCAAGAAATTTATATCAATTATATTCTTGATATCAGAGAAAACTTCTATTATTTGGTTTAAATAGGAAAATAACATCGATCTGCAATTTTCTTGTTATCTAGTCTCTAGTTTGTTACAATTAGATGATTGACAGTCATATTGCCAATGCTTATACTGAAGTTAACTTCAGTTAGAGATGTCCAGAGTGTCGTTTTTCTTGTGTTGTGTTGCCTGACTGAGAGAAATACTCTGACTCTTGCCAACCATGTTTAGCTTTACTCATCCTTAATCCTACCCTAGTTGAAATACTCTAAAATTGATAAATAGCAAAATAGTATCTAAGGTTGTCGATATTTTGTAGGAGTGACAGAGGAGAAAATCTAATTGAAAATGCTTTCAACCTCGGAATGCTAAAAGTGATAACCAGAGAGTAGCGAGAAGAACGAAAATCATCATGATTCGCCGCCTTCCTCTCCTCCATAACGGCCGACTTGCCACCAAGCCATATCTTCTTAATCCTATGCACTTCGCAACGACATTGTGAATTTTTTTCATTTCAATTTCTGTCAAAACTAGGCAAATGGTATTTTAGAACTCGGTTTCTTTTCAAAGTTATCAAGAAACTGTAAAAAGTTAGAAGAAAGTCGAACGTTTTAGTGGGAGAAGAAATCCTTCTCGTAATCGAGAACTATAATAGTATCATGTTAGAGATCTCAGGGTTAGCTTATTTCGTACCCTGTAACTTGACTGACGAGGGAACATTCTCAAGTATCAAAACGTTTTTGTGTCAAAACTATGTGCACTGTATAGGTCTGAAAGCACTATGAATACCTTATAAAAAAAACTAGTACTGATAGTTTATTTCTGATGTGTTATCGACTTTATAGTATATATATCTTCTAGAATTCCATTTTCCTAGCAAACTCACAGCTTTGAATTTTTCTTCGAGATATAAAGCTTCAAAGAATACACACTATTCATTATCCATGAAAAACAACGTACATATTAAAAGTTTAATATTTCTACGAGACTATTCAAAAGCTCTGAAATTTTTAACATTAACTAATTTAGTCGAAGTCTCTATGTTAAGAAATTTTCAATTCAAAATTCGAAGACAGAAGTCTACTAGACAGAGAAGTTCTGGAAGAATTATTTATTAAAAAATCAATACCCTACCAGAAACAAGCTATAAACCTGAACTTCTCAAAAGTATTCATAGTTCATTAGGATCTACATGACACACATAGTCTTGATCATAGATATACAAGTCCAAGTTTTTTATGGTCATGATTCCAGTCTTGAGAAACTTATTCCAGAATATATTCGTATCACATCTAAAATAATTCTTCCATGCTTATATCTTCAATTTATTTAATCGACGACTAGCACTTCTTTTAGGATCATCTCTCTTAAATTATATTCTAATTCATATGATGTATCAGATCATTTGTTTAAAACCATAGAATATTGTATTATAAACTTTAATTCTGATCCCGACGAATGTTTTCTCTTGGTCTCGGTCTCATACATCTCTAGTCTTGACACAAAAGTGAATTGATACCTGGAAATATTTCCTTGTGAGAGAAATTTTCTAACGCTCACGTCACTCTGCACATCTGTACCTACGGTTGTTAGTATGAACATATTATTCAAACTATCGTACCTACAATTCGCATAAAAAAAAACACCCTATATAAAACATGATTTGATTTTAGCCAGGAAATTTCATTTCGAGAAAATCTTAAGTCTAACCATAACCAATAGAAATATCTCTGAAATTCTACCTTAACAAGTAACCATTATTTAAAACTCCTATTTTATAAATGAAAATAATTCAATACCAATGCTATTTTTCTATTTGCTCTCATTGTTCCATCAAGCCAAGTTTCTGCTGTTGACCAACTTCCTCGTGTTAGTTTAAATTCAACATTCGCCGTATTTTTAAAGTCAACAATTAATGTATTTGTTGCACTATCAAACTCAAATTGTTTATCATTTGGACTCCATTGATTATATGAACTTGCTAAATATATTTTATCATTTAATGGTGTATAGAATCTTGGTACTTGTCGTAATTTAAATTGAACAACTACACCACTAATACAACTCAGAACTAAATATTATATGAATTCTATATCAATAAATAGATAAATTTTTATTATTTCTCACTTGTATAAAATAGGATGATGATTCGAATCATTCGAATAGATATTTCGTACGAAAATAAAACTAATCCTTTATTTTGTATGCAATATATCTGTTTTTTTATTTTGCTTATTGATTTGAAAATGGAAGAAAAGAAACAGAACAGACGAAAAAAAACACAGACAAAAAAGACATTGGTCATCTGTAGATTCTTTTAATTTTGTTCGTTATAATAGATTATGCAATTTTTATTTTAGTTTTTTTTTATATAAAGACAATCAATTTATGTGAAGAAAAAAAAAGAAAAATTTCTAATTGATTATATATTTTATTCGATATAGAATAGACAGAGAGAATTTATCTCAATACACTATTTAATGAATAAAGAAAATGAAAAGTATATAGAGAAAGAGAAATAGAAATAAACAAACACCTGAGTAATTTCATTGGCTGTTTGATTTTCTATATACATAAACTCGTCATTTATTGATCTTGACACATATACAAAAAGAAAAGTCAAAGAAATATTTCATAGTATTTCTTCACTTGAATCCATTGGTTGTATGTCTTGAAGAGAACTTTGTGATTGCATTTGACTCTGATCATCTTCAGTAACAGATGATGCTAAATCTTCCATACCAAGTAGAAGATCTTCATCTTTTGAATAGAGTTTATCGGCATTTTCTTTTAATTGATTATTAGCACCTTAAAAAATAAATATATACTTAAGAAATGAAAAAAACAAGAGAATCATTTTTAAGCTTACCCTTTGGGTCAAGATCCATACACCATGACATGTACATATATGAGTAATGGAAATTTTTCAAATGTCGATGTACCTTAAGAAAATGATAGAATAATTTTCATCGTTTATGACGAGCGGACAATCGGATGAATTTCATAGTCTTATCATTAGAAATTTGCAGTGTAGGTTGTATTCGTACTCTGTACTTTGATTGAAACAAATTTTCTAAATCTTACTGTAACCTATAGGGTAGGGTAATCCTGCACATCTCTACTTATTATTAATGAATGTTAATTTCGATCGATACATTTGCTCTTCTTGATTATAGTAGTTTTAAGATACTTTTGAGCAACAGATCACGTAGTTCCATATTAAATATTATCTATAGATAAGTTTGAGCTGTAAAAAAAACTTTTATTCTTTTAGTCAATATAATTTCTTTTTTGAATTTCTCTCAAGAGAAAACTATACTGTATGTAACCCGTTGTTTGAGTTCATATGGAATTCATAAGAAGGTGTCGGTAATAATATAAAAATGGTAGAACAGTTCGTTCCTATGGTTCTTGGAAGTTGAACTATGCCTGTCTTACTGAATTTTCGAGTTAATTTTGAATATTTATTGAAAAATCAAATAATGGAATTCCGATTTGAAATTTTGCCTATAGAGAGATCTAATCACTTTCAGCATATTATTTGAAAATTCTATATCTCTGCAAAGTGACATTATTTTTGTCTGAAAATTTTAGGATGTTGTAAGGATCATTAGATCTCTGAAATGGTCTTGGACAAATCTCTGATAGTTATTTGTCTCATATTATCCGCTCAATAGCAGATTGACTAGTGATGATATACAACTGCTCTTGTGGTTAGTTCAGCCTATTAGATTTGCCGCTAAGGAGCACTTCATACTGTAAGATAGTCGAAAAGCACAGATATTCTTCCTATCTATGAACGAGATTTTAGATGATTTTCATTGTTTCATTTTCGGGTAAATATCTAATAGTGATTCAAAAATTCAGTAAAAGGGCAATAATTCGACTTCAAAGCACCATGGAAATAATTTTTTAGGCTTTTTCTCATCTTATCAGTTCAGTCTGAGCTCAAGCAGCACATTACAGTTGAGATAACTCTCTTTTTAGTATTACTGATATTAAAATTGCACATTTATCCTTTTCTAATTGTATGATTTTTTGAAATGAATGACAATATATTATTGAAATCTAATAGAAGATAGTATAAAAATAAAAGATCTATCATTTAACCGTATGCTATATCAGCAGAAGATATTTCATATTATTCTTTTGATTTTAGTTTGATAACGACTTACTTTACTCAGTAAATAATAAACCAGCGATTCTTTAGGTGCTATTTGTCTTAATTGTTCAAGTTCTGTTAAAGCTTCATGATACCGTTCAAGATGCAATAAAAGACCAGCTCTAGTAAAAATAAATTTCAAAGAGATTAATTTTAAATTCAAAATAAAATTAACGTACTTATGAAATTTACAAAGAGCATTTTTTGAATCAATTTTAAGTGCATCATTAAGTAATGCTAATGCACCTTCAGATCGATTACATTTATGTTGAGCCTAAAATATCATTTCACTGAAAATAAATAACAGTTAAAACTAATTTCTTACCACTGCTAAATGACAAATAAGATCTGGATTCGTACGAAATATATTTGTTGCTTTTGTAAAATGAAATTCAGCTGATTGAAATTTTTCTTGTTTTAAATAAACCATCGCTACACCATTCCTATGATAAAGGAGCAATGATTTTTCTTTTTCAAAATTAAGTATAAAAACTATTACCATGCTTTATAACTTCTTGAATTCAATTGAATAGCTTTACGAAAACATGCCATAGCTCGTTCAAGTTCATCAACTAATGAATATTCATTGCCTAATAATGTATATGCATAATCAGATTCTGGTGCCAATTGAATTGCACGTTTAAATGCTTGAATAGCTTTATCATATTCATGATTTAGACTAAGACAATTTCCGGATGCACACCAACTCTATAGAATAAAAGGCAATTAATTATGAAAAATTCTACATAAATGTCTTGTACAAATGTAAATTATGTAGATACCAATGAGCAAAAAGTTTATGTTTTTAAATTATTGTCACAGGGATACTGCAATTTTATCGTATTTTTAAAAATGAAGTGTACTCGAGAAAAACTGATTTTTGAGTTTTGCCTTGAAAGTTTTGCATAGAGAGAGAGAGACCAAAACAAGAGTAGTTTCACATCTTGTGATTTATTTCTATTTTGAAATAAGAATATTAAATTTACCGGTTTATGTAAGCTTACAAGACACGCTACTATCATAGTTATATCTTAAGTTAGGAACAGCGACAACATCTGAAGGTATTTTGCTACAAATTGAATAAACCAAGAAAGCAAAGAGCTAGCAATCTGCCTTTTCAGAAATTGACAGAAGAGATATAGAAATGCCTTTTACTCTGATAATACATAGAACAATATAATTTTGAAATGAATGATTTCCACAATATTTTTTGAAAAAATATTATCTCATCCCGATCGAATTTTCATATTGACATTCCTCTTTCAAAGAAGGATTTGATATTTATAATCCAAGAAACGATTCGAATGATTGTCTTCTCACGTCTTAAAGCTGAGCAAATAAAATTGTCTATTTGTTTGTTCGAATAATATAGAATTTTGTTGATGTTTAAGCAAACTGTTTTATCTATTATTAAAACTTCAGTGGAATCGTAAATCACTTTCAAACATTTTATTTTTGAATATGTTGCAGATATTGCTTCATCTTTTATAATAGTATCAAAGAAAGACGCATCATGTTCTCTCTCTCAATTATTGAAAGCTGCAGATCGCCTAACCTATTTCCGTTCTCGATTTATTCGATTTGTAATCGAATACATTTAAGTTTTACATCGATATTAGTATCTTCGTTTTCTTCATATAATGGAACTTTTCATGTTGGTATCTGAGAGTATGAGATACGATAAAATCTAATACTTTTACAATACAGAATATAATTTTTAAAATGACTATATCTTTCAAAGAAAGATCCATGAGCTTGAATTCTTTCAAGTTTTCTCTATTTTCAATAGAGCATATCGAATGAGATATGGTTCATTTGTATAATGAATTATCATTTGACGAGATTCATTCATTTGTACAGAAAATATTTGAATAAATAACTTATACTTACAGCTGGATGTTTTCGATCAGTTTCAGTTAATTCATGTGCTAATGTCGCTAGTGCAATATCATCTTTTAAATGCCAAAGAACTGTACTATAATATTCTAAACCATCGACATGATATGGAAATTTTGTACGTAATTCTCGATAGATAAATGCTGATTTTTGATAATCATGTAAATGATAATAACAATTAGCTAAATGTGATAGTACCCATGGTGTATGAAGATGTTTTAATGATATTGTTTCAAATAATTCAATTGCTTGTCGACATTCAAATTGAGATAGATGTTGAAGACCTTGACCAAGTAATTTAAATACATTGATTATATTTTCAACTAATTCTTCAAATAACAAAAAAAATTAAAAATTCAAATTTTATATGAATAATAATAATTGTAAACAAACCAGGTGTTCGTTGATTTGATTGACTTTTTCTCTGTCGTTCACGTTTATTTATTATTTCTGTATCAATAGAACAATTTAAATTTGTATTACTTGATCGTACTTGTGATCGTGTTGTCATTTTATTTGGAGATTCAGATGATGGTACTGGTGTTATACTCATATCTGTACATGGTGGACGTGTTTTCGTTACACGTGTATTGCGTTTTGTTGTTGAACGAATTGATTTATTTTCCTTAAAAGAAAAAGCAAGTTATTCAAATTAAAATTCGAAATATAAATTAATTATATATAAGATTATTTGACTAGACTTCTAATATATTTAGCAAGTCAAATATTTGGAAGTGGACTTTTATTGAAATCAACTTTTTTTTGTATTGTACAGTAGTGGCAAAAAGTTTCGTGACACTTAAAAATCGGTTCCAACTACTTCTTGTTTGAGTTGATCTGAGCTTGTTTCATGTACAACGTATATACATGCTACAAGCTACAACGTGCTATCGACTGAGCGAAGTGGTGTCAATTTTTGCAAGAAAAACGTTTACAGAAACATAAGTCCAGTAGCACAAGGTTCCGTGACACTTCCAATACGGCTAAACCCTTGACTTCTCGGCAGTTTGAAGAACACCATTGGAAAGAGCGTGAAAAATTACCCACTTTCCACGCCATTTCGATTTCGAAATAATGTAGAATAAAATTCTCGAAAACGTAGGTTTTCATAGGATTTTGGATGTCTCATTCGAAAAGCCTCTGGAAATTTCCATTAGACAAGAAAATTGATAGTTATTTAGCGTCTATTTCAAAGAGCGATCTTGTCTCTACAAAACAAGATATCAATGGACTATCTCGGATTAAAAATGAAAGAGAGCAGGTGCCACGAAAAAAAGGCGATGCCGTTTTTCCAGTTTTCACAGCCAAAATTGCTAGAAAATGGTACAATTTTTCATGTATGTTTTTCTTGATACCGACTCTTTTCTATTTCAAATTCGAAATAGTCCATTGATATCTTGTTTTGTAGAGACAAGATCGCTCTTCGAAATAGACGCTAAATAACTATCAATTTTCTTGTCTAATGGAAACTTCCAGAGGTTTTTCGAATGAGACATCCAAAATCCTATAAAAAACCTGCGTTTTCGAGAATTTTATTCTACATTATTTCGAAATCGAAATGGCGTGGAAAGTGGGTAATTTTTCACGCTCTTTCAATGGTGTTCTTCAAATCACCAAAAAGTCAACGGTTGAGTCGTACTTGAAGTGTCACGGAACTTTTTGCTGCTGGACTTATTTTGCTGTGAACTTTTTTTTTGGAAGAATTGGCACCACTTTGCTTAGTCAATAGCATGTTGTAGCTTGTAGCATGTATATACATTAAACATGAAACAAGTTCAGATCAGCGGAAACAAGAAGCCGTTGGAACCGATTTTCAACTGTCACAGACAGAGGTGCAGAATCTTCCAAAAATCCAAAAATTTCCCCCCACGCAAAAAAGTCTTTTGAAAAATTTCTCCATTGTATTTTTTTTGGCCAGCGGGTTTTTCCAAAATTTCCCTATTATTTGAGTTTTTCAAAAAATTTCTCCCCTCGCGCGGGGGCGCATGAGGAAGATTCTGCACCTCTGGTCACAGAACTTTTTGCCACCACTGTAGCTATGATTTGATTCGCTTACAAGTACAGAACTGAACAAGAATAAGTGATTTGCTTCTATTCCCTACTTTTAGTAATTACCTGAAAATTACTGCATTCAAAATCGAACTCGACGGTTTGAATTCGATACATGCTTACACAAGATTCAATATACAGGAATTTCCAAACCATCTGAGAACTTGAATACGAGCTCTGATAGTTACTGATGGACTGAAAATTGATTTCTATACTTTCACAGAGTTATGTTCTTAAAAATCCAGAGTGATGCGTTCATTGTACTACTTTTCTCATGCGTATGATCATCTATCATCAGCAATTCATGGATCACGTGAAATTTTCGAATTTCAAGCAGACTAAAGTGAAAACATTTTTTACGAATCAAAAAAAACTAAAAAGCGCAGTTGCAGATTACATATAATTTTCTCAGGAATGTTTTCTCTTGATGACTTTTTATTCACACTAAAAGAAGGCTCTTAATCCTTGCTAACGGCGACTTTAAACAGAGTTTTCCGACTAATGGTAACAAAAGTAAGAAAAAAGTTTTGTTCATTAAATAGTTCGTAGGTTCGAGTAAATGTTACCCTATTTAAATCATTAAAATAGGCTACTTTCAATTTTTCATTTAATGTCCGTCCGCACGCTCACGGTGAGAAGGGCCGAGATATATATTTTAATTATCTTAAAGTGCTTCAATAATGGATATCGCACTCATTTCATGCTGACACTTGGTTTTGAATTCCAAGAAACTCTCGTTTGATTTCATTAGGCTTTGTGAGATGTTTCCTTTTGCAGTTAAAGATTTATTCATATTTCAATCGGCGTAGTAAAAATTTGCATCATTTCATTTTTATACTATGTATAATCTCATAACCGAAAGAAGCCTAAGAGATTTTTATTCAAACATGTGTTTTCCAGTTCATCAGTCTCTGATAATCCTGAAATCAGGTCGATTATCTGACATCGATCTGGAGTATGAGTTAGGATCCTGGATATGATCTCATACTCAGATTCTACCCGACAGTTAATGAGATCTCAGCGTTTTCAAATACTTTTACTTTCTCAAACTGCTACATTATATAAAAGTATAGGATAAAAAATCGATTCGATCACGATTTAATAATTTATTGTATTTTAAAATATATCACGGAAGTGGAAAGCGATATTTTTTTTATTAAAAGAATTTCTTTTAATGAAAATTCTTTTACAGATGACGATAAACCATATGGCAAAGTCAATTAATATACGGAGAAGAAAATGAATCATCAAAAAAGATAAACATGTATTATCGTGATCGAAGAAACATTCATGTATGTATTCACAATGATGACGTTTGGCACCAACATTGCATTTCATTTCAGCATCATCAGCAACGAGCAAACGTAGGAAAATTCATTGGAGTTTCGAAGTAGAAAGACAACAAGTAAGTCTTGAATCATTTGCTTTTTTTTGTGGAATTTGAGATGATCTCTTATTTCGTTTCTGCTTATGAAAAAACTGAATATTATACTTTTCTTCATAAAAATTAAAAGTTTGAAAATAGTGATTATGATTATGAAAGTATCTGCTGGATTCTGATTAACTCCAGTCAAGTACCATGTACAGCTATCCAGGTTCGACTGCAAAAAGTCATGCTCGTGCATACACATTTCTTCTATTCCCGAAATATATACCCAAGAATTTCTAATTAATTGATTTGATGATTTACATTTCTATTTTGCTCTCGGTCAAATAGGGTATGGTTAATTAACACTCAATTAATAAAGCATTTAGTTATAATTATATCTAAAACATACTTTTCGTGTACTAGTTGTTTTCCGCGTATCACTTATAGATGTTGATGCAATTTCATGTCTATGTAAAATTGTTGCTGTTGATGTGGGTGTCATCGTATCATCAAATCCATACTGTTGTCTTTATGAAAAAAAACAAAAAGTTTCTTTTTGATGAAAGTTTCTTATCTATTCATACATCATTCGGGTATTTTGTCGTTTGGGTGCTAATGGTGGATTACGTAATGTGGGTATATAATCAGGTGGTTTTATAGTTGGTGGAGTATATTTATCATTATCTTGTAATTGTTCAGAAAGTAAACCAATTGGTGTTGATGTTATGACACCAGAAATATTCGTTGAACCAACATTTAGAATGGAATCTGTTAGTTTCATAATAGTTGCTGGAGCTTGTGATAAACGTTGTTGAGATCGTTCTTTTATAGGAAGGTTTGAACTTATATTGATTGTCTAAAAACAAAAACCAAAGAGAATTTATTACAAAAAGGAAAAGAGAAGATTTAATTTTAAACAAACATTTTCAATAACTTGATTTTCACTTGGAATATCTTTGATTGGTTCTGTATAAGGTGTGAGACAACTTTGTGATTGATTATGTTCAGATATTGATCGATTAGATTTAATTGCAGATGAGCAAAATACACTTGTATCGACACGTTCACCTAAAAACCGATGAACATAAAATGAAGAATTTTCATTTATAAAAACCAAAAAAAAGCACATTACCAAGTCGACATAAAGCTTCAAAAGATGACCATAGAAATGGATTTAATTTTAATGATTTTCTATAACATTCACTTGCTTTTTGATGACGATCTGATTTTCTAGATGACCGAAAGAAAAAATATTGTCTTTTGTCATCATCAACTAAATATCTTTTTTCCATGATACAAATTATAATGTTGATAAATATGTTTTCACAAAAACTTTCATTAAAACTTTCACGTTAAATACTTAAATATTCTCTACTAATTAAACATGTACAACACATCATCATTAAATTTTTGTTATCCATCACAAAAGATTCAAATTCTTTTATTATCTATTAGCAATTTGTATGAAAAAAAAATCAGATTGCATAAGTGGATTGGAGCATGTATCAAATCCGAACTTTTGGTGTTCAATTTGATATGAACACACTATTTTGGTATAAATACGTATATTTTTATTGCTATTTATATCTCCTTATTTCGTTCTTTTGTTTTGCATCGCGTCAATTATAAAAAATTTACATACAAACAAAAGCGTTTTGTCTTATATCAACTACATGACCTTCTCTTCTGTATGTTGTTACTATAAGGATCGATCAAAGGCATAGATGAAATTTTTTTTGATGTTCTCTCTTTAATATGTTGTTTATCGTGCTTATAATTAGTAGTGTACTGCATGAAGCTTTAGAAATAAAAAAGAAAAACTAGTTTTTCGTACTACAGACGAATGCGAACTGTTTGATCCGAACACCAAACCAGAATTCGGCTTCAGTGCATATCTACCTTAATCTCAGTAGAATACGATTGAGTCTAGGCTTTTCCTAGTGACATTGAGAAATGCTTGTTGAACACAACTCAACAACTTCTTTTAGTAAAGTACAACAAAAAGCAAAAAAATAAATAAATCAATAAATGAAAAAGTTTGGATTCTTTTGAAAAAAGTAATAGACGTACTCGCAAACTTTTGCTAATAATTGCAATGCAAATGCACCTTGATCACCATGATCATTAATAAAATCATCTAATCCAAGTGTATTTATTGATGAACAATTACCAACAAGTATAGCTTCAGCTTCATGAAGTCTTCAATTATAGAAATAAAAATAAAAATTCATTTTCTTTTTATTCTTTCTTATAATTAATACATACTTATCTGTATCAAAACAACATTTCGCTAAAAGAAGTTTAGCTGAAGGTACATGTTCAATTGACGAGTTACGTAATAACCAATAGGATTTATTGATATCACCACTTAGATAATAAGTACGAGCTAATAAATAAATTGATTCATCATTTTTTACTAGAAAAAAAAAACATTTGATTAATTAATTAATTAACTTTCTTTTTACAGATATTACTTTCTGCATAAAGGCGTTCAGCAAGAAAAATAGCATCAGTATAATCAAAGTTTTGAATAAATTGATTAATATAAGATTTTACTGAATCAATTGCGACGGACATTCAAAGAAAACAGATCAAAATATTAAATAATTAAGACATTAATAAAGAGCAATCGTATATCTAAAACTAAAACAAACTGGAATAACAATTGAACTGAATTATTATCTTAATTAAAAAATAAGAAACAAATATATATCCATCACCAAAAAATAAGAGTAAAACATTACTGTTTGAAAAATCGTTGTAGATTAAAAAAAATCAAAAGAAAAAGAAAAATAAGATCTATTTATCAGTCAACAAAATAAAAGAAAGATATTTTTAATTTGGATTTTCAAGGTCTTGCGTATTAATCTTTTGACGTCGTTTACGATCGTTTGATAACCGATTACATGCTTGTTGAATGTTCATAAATGTTGCTTCAGCTTTCTGTTTTTCTTCTGGATCCTATTTCATGAAATTTTTTTTTTAAATCGATTAACAAAGAAAATAAACAATGATTTCATACTCGATATCTATCTGGATGCCATTTACGTGATAAAATTCGACATTGATTTTCAATTGTTTTTTGTGATGCATTAGGGTTAACATTAAGAACCTGAAAATATGATATTAAGCGTGTTTTTAGAATCGAAAGAGTTTTTTGTTAATTTTTATAAATTCAGGATCAAATTGTTAATCATGGAATTAGAAACGTCGCATTTTTCATGATGGTCAATGGTATAGAATGCTACTAAAGAGTGTTTTCTTCAGATTTTGACTTTCGTCCGAGCGATATAAATCTTGGGGAGAAGGAACACATTTTTGAGAGCACAGGTATATAATATGTGGTACAATAACCAAGAACTTCGAGATAACAAAACCAATCTTCGCAGAGGCGTTACCTTCCCGAACCTCACGTTTATTGAAATACTACTATCAAACCTCAAGAAATAATCATCGAACTAGCACTCTTGATGCAAGGATTGTTTGATATGCACTCTGCCAAGAGTGTTTTATACAAGTTCTCTCCTCCGAAAGTATGATTCAAAACTCTTGGAAGGCTGAAAAAAGGCATGTAGTGCAATAATAACGAAATTAAAGAGAGAAGACCAGCTCAATCATCGAAGATGCACTGAACAAGCACGGTAAAAATCGGCTTATGAGGGAACCTCTTCAGTTGCTCTGTTCCGATTAAAATGTGTTTTTTGTCTAGAGATGCTATATAGTGTTCTATTAAAAAACCTAAAATGAATTGGGTTCCTAGTAAGATTTAACAAAGCTATCGAATTTTAATATGTCTATTTTCTAGATGCCTTAGGTTTTCGGAAAACTTGTATTTTATGAAGCTCCTTGAAAACGCATTCAAACACTCTAATTGCATTTCCCGTTCGAGCATTTTCACTTTCAGACAGAAAACATTAAAACCATTTGCTTTTATCATAAAATATGCATTGAATATGCTTTAAAACGACAGTTTTTGCATTTGAAAAACATCGAAAAGGTTTTCTCACAATATTCTTGACATATACGACGCATTAAAAAGTCATTTTTATTTGCAAAACACGTCAAACTATTGTGGAAAAACTTTTTCATGCTTTTCAGACGCAAAATTTGTTTGTATTAGTCTCATCACGCACCTTTTATATTGAAAGTAGCTGATTTTGGTGTTTTCTGAACGGATGTGAAAATTCTCAAATAGAAACTACGATGAGGTAATTCAAACTTGTTTTAAAAAGATCTTGTTCTGTTTTGGATTGCACAATCAGGAACATTTGAACAGAGAAAACTAAAAAAAACATTTTGTTCAAGAAGAAGGTGAGGAAAATCTTCGAAAACCTTTGAAAACAATGAAATGTCAAATAAAAGAGTCAGCAGAGGCTTCAAGAATGAAGTTTCTGCTGTTTCTGTCTCGATCTAACCTTAAGGTATCCTCTCAAGCATTTATCTTGATGTCGCTAATTCTGACGGAAATGGACTGTTCTTGAGCAAGACCTTAACGGTACAGAATTCATCCAGAAATACATATATGTCACAAGAATGTGATCACAATATCTGTGTTCTACAAGATGAAAACCATATTGTCTCATGAGAGAAGATCCAAAAGTGTGAATCAGGGATAAAATTAATATTTTGTCTATGAGTAGAGTCTAATCGAGCAAATAGCAGTCTAAAAGAGTACGACTACATGCTTTGTTCTTCTTGAGTAATGCCTGCTTTCCTAACATTTTTACTCCCAGCAAGGTGTTGATGAAAAAATTGGAATATAGAGTTTAGGCTTGCAATTTATTCTATAGATAAATCTCATAGCTATTAGAATGTCTAAAAGAATGTACTTTTATTAAAATATGCATTGCTAAATATAATTGATTTCCGAGCCATGCCCTATTATACATGATTGTTTTTTTAAAATACCGAATAAGTCAAGAAGAATACATTCTTTTTAGCTGAAATATTTCAGACATTCTAATGACACTGTAGCTTATCATTGGATTTGAAGTCCAAACTAAATAACTCGATTTTATCTATAAACATCCTACTATAAATAAGAAAGCCCGCAAAACGGTCTTCATTCACGAGGAAACGTTTCCAACTGATCGCTCACTTTTGAATTTAAACTGAGAGCATTAATTTGACCACAATGAAATACAAAAAACCCTCAATAAGATAAGTCCGTGAGGTTATCTGTCCAGCATTAAAGGCATTTTAATAGGATTCTAGCTTCTGGCTTGATATATACTAATGAATCGAATGAAGATATTACGATCTGAGATCCCACCAACAGGCAGATCTATTTTTCAGTAGAATGTTCTAAAAATTTCAACTCAAAAAAGTATTTCCTTCCGGAAATATCAAAGTCTCAAAAAACAGAAAAATTCAGTATCGTTCGTGGAATATAGGCGATTTTTGAGATCTTTATATCTAAAGCAGTAAATATTATAGTGAACTGAAATTTTTAAGACATTCTACTAACAAATAGATTCGTCTGTCGGCAAAAGCTCAAGTCGAAATACTGCCATTCGATTAAGTGGTATATACTATGTCAGAAGCTAATATTTCAGTCAAATGTATATCACTGTGGAAGAAAGGCCTAAAGAGATTCATATTTTTGACATTTTTCATATCTCACAGTAGTCTATCTTATGTACTGAGTCCAAATTTACAAACGATTAATCAGTTGAAAACGTTCTCTCATCAGAAAAACTACAGAATGCAGATCAAACTTTTTAGGCTTCTACTAGTCTTATCGAACGCTAATTATATACAAAATATAAGACTTTATACTCTAATTTACATCTAACATAGTAGAGAGATAGTGTCATCAATCTTGCTCGCTTGTCATTACTGCAAGAAAAAAATTCAAACCTCTTCAAAGAAAATGAAAAAAAATTATTTTTCAGTACACTATTCTTCTCATTCTATCTTCAGATTAATCTAAAAAGTTTTTCTTATTTTTCAATTTACTTCATATGCTTGTTTATCACTTTGAGACTCTAATGCTGTCCATATTTCTGTCCATATTCCTTTAAATCCATAGTGTAAATAAAAAGCATATAATTGTTTCATAACACTTGACAATTGTTGATATAATTGTATAAATTCTTGTGATTTAAAAAAATCAGCTAAAACATCTTTTACTTTAACACGTTCACCATTAATATCAACTTGTAAATTTTGATATATAGCTGATGTTAATATTGTACCAAATATAAATGCACCTAAACCAAGTATACAACAACGTTTTATAAAATGACGTCGTGTTCGTGCTTTTTTTTTCGATGATGCTTCACTTTCAGTTTTAATGGGAAAATATTCTGGATTCCAATCAACTTTCCATTCAAATATACAACATGAAAAAAATGCTACAATATTAAATGATGGTGATGCATCGACATTCCACATTATAAATGGTAAACCAAGTAAAGCACCTAATAATGGCCAAATAAATGAACATCGACGAGGACCAAGTGTTCCAGCTAATTGTGTACCTAATTAAATTGAAAATTTAAATATTTTAATTCTGATTATTGGTTTCCTACCAAGAGCAATAGCAAAAGCACTACTAAATCCAATAAATAACGATGGTATTGTTTGTTTCAGCCATGTATCAGGAAAAGCATAATAAGTAATAACACCATAAAACAAAGCAGTTAAATATTGACCTTGAAAATAAAATAATAATTTTCAAAATTTTGTTCGATAATTTTCTTTTCTTTAATCTTACCACAAAATCTTATCAATTCAAAAGCTGGTGATTTTTGTTCTCGCATTTTTTTTTCATATTCTTCAAGTATAACATTGTCATGATTTGCTTCACGAACATATTTTTTTATTGAAAATAATATTTCATACAGAATACCAATTCCAAAACCTCCAAATGTTGTAAACCATAATAAAGCATGTTGAGTACGTCCCAAATAAAGATGATGTAAACCAAAAAGGCCACCAATTAAAGCAAAAAAATACGCAAATCCTGTACGTTTCATATTACTCATGAAAGAAAATCTAAATTAAAAAGAACAATAATAATAAATAAAATCATACGTATTTAATCAATGTTCAATAATCTCGTTCATCATAGACAAAAATTATTTTGTTTTTCTTTTGTGTTTTGTTCTTTTCGAACGAATAGTTAAGGTCAAGAATCAAAAAGAATAAGGTGAGAAAAATATCCCGTTTTTTTTCTCACGACGACGACAATACAAAATGAGTGTAATTGGACTAATTGAACAATTGTCGCTAGAATTTTTGTTGATATTTACATTGAAAGTAGCGATTAATCCTTTTTTTTGTATTATATATTATCGATTATATACGACATCTAACACAATCCAATAATGCTGTATCTAGATGTCATAGAATAATCTAGAGACAAGAAGATAAACTGCAAAAATTAAATTCAATCAATCTAAACAATATATAAAATTTCAATCGAAATAAATTATGAGCTACTTGTCTGTTATTTATTATACTATGTAAAAGTAAATAGAAAAAAAGGTGTATGAAAAAGATTTTAACTTATATTTCACATCTTTCATCACGGTTCGTGAGGTTTTTGTGATATCGATCTACATATAATGCATAAATTTTATGGTTGTCATGTATGTTATTCTGTATCATGAAGAGACTACATCATAGTTAAGGAATTCATTGAATTTATTGCGATGTTTTTTTTTTCCATATCATATCTTGTTTAGTGTTTTGATCAATAGACCATTTTATTAAATATCAACTTTTTTTTCCCTTTAATTTAACAAATTTTTTTAATATTGCTATACAAATTTCAGATCTCATTTTCATTAGAATTGATACTAGGTTTTTTTATTTAGACAATTAAATTAGATGAAAACGAATTAACATTCGAAAGATATATATACTAATCATCGTATGAATTTAGAGATTTTGATTGCTAATCGAACAAACGAATGATGAACAATTAAAAAATCAGATTACTCATTTATGTATGCAAAATCAACATTTATATGATGTTTACATTAAACTTCAATCTAAAGAGAATCATTTGGCTAATACTATGCAAAAGTTTATTGACCATCACTGATTATTACATAATTCATTGTCAATGAAAAAGAACAAACAAGACTTTAGTTGATCGACTTTCAGTAATGATCTAAATGATCATCATTCATTTACATTAAAATACAATAACAAAGTCTCATAAACATGTTTACTGAATCATTTATTTAATAATCTTAAAAGCATGAAAACAAAAGAAACAATAAAAACAAATAGAAAAATATAAAATTCTATTAATGAATCACAAAATCATCGATTAAAAAAAAACAATTTTTATTTGAATTTTATGATGAAAAAAAAGGACAAAATACAACAGCTCACATGAAAACAATGATACATATTTCTTATTTATTTTCTAACTTAACATGTTCATAAAGATTTACAATTATTAACTAATATTGTTTATTTATATTAATAGCCTGTGTAAATGAAGTTTTTTTTTCTTCTCATGAACTATCTCCCACTCATTTCATCAAACCATGCATGTGCCTTATAATATCAACATATCAAGATATATATATATGTGTATATGTTAAAGAAGTGTCTGTATACATAATGTATACATATATACATAGTTGAAGGCGTTCGTTTACGTTTAATTTTAAATTATCATTGCAATATGTTTGATTGAGTGGTAGATTGTATGTTTCTTTATGTCATTGCCGTTGAAGAAGAGAAAAGAAAAAAAAAGCTCATTTGTTAAGGGATTATAGCACAAATCACAAGCGCATTTTTAAATATAGATGAATACGTGAATGACAATGTGACCTAAAGCTCTATATTCACATGCAAGTTCACAGTTATACATATACACCAGGATTGTACAAAATCAAAGGTATCTGATTTCTTTCTACCATCAATCATAAGGTAGAAGAAAGCTGAAAGTGTACATTTCTATTATCATTAAGTATTGTCAAACAAAAAAATTTGAACTCTCTATCGCGCTATCATCGTTATTACTGTTATTGCCATATAATTTATTTTCGTGTATGTATATATGCAAGATGATTGTATGTTTAAAACTAACGAAATGTAGCTATCGATAAGTTAATATATTTCATGTAAAATGTTATCCTTGAATAAAAGTTTTATTCGAAACCATATATTAAGAACTTTTAATCGAACTTGTAAATATCTTTCTTATGACTATACATGTTAGTCTTTCCTCTTTTTCGATTCGATAGGACTTCTTCTGTATATATATATGTATATATATATCTATACAATAGTTTGTTAATACTTGATAGTTTAAAGCGAGTATCCTAGGCTTCAGTACAGTCAAGTGTTAGTTTGACTTTTAAGATAGAAACTAAATAAGAGAATAGAGCCTACTTCAATATGTTGTTTTCTTTATATCAACAAAAGCAGCATAACGAGTTGGCTTGAATATAAAATGAAATAGCAACGAAGAAGAGTGAGAAAGAAAAAGTGATTCTTTTCTCGTTCTTGAGTAGGCGGCGTCACCATCCTATGTACACTTTTGCTACTCTGATATATATATATATATAATATATGAGCGATTAAAAGAAAAAGAACTGCACAACCCATTTATAAACCGAAAATGATCTAAAACTGTGAATTTTCACTGTTGGCCAAATCGTTCACTTGAATTTTTTTGTCTTTAAGGTATTATTGCTATTATTATTATTATTATTATTATTATTATTATTCAATGTGCGATCGATATTATATAATCTGATTTTGTGCTTTGAATTGTTTAACTCTCCTTTCTTTTTAACGTTATTCATTCATACTTGTTAATGACAACACATACAATAATGTCGTTTGATAGTCACCATACTATATATAATAATCGAACTTATGTTCATACAACATATTCATCGACTACAAATCAAGCATTTCATTCTTATCTACCAACATTACCGATACCATCAATTAATATATGTGAAAATCTTTTATATGGATCAAAAATAGATGACGATGTTGGATCAGCTACATCATCATCATATATTCATAGTCATGAAAATTATGATAACCCATATGCACATACATACGATAACCCAATAGAATGTCTTGAAAATGTAAGTTTATTATTCTATCAAAGACATGTATTTTGTAATGAATTAATCTGATCTTTTTTTTAGTATAATATAAAACAAAGTTTAATTAATCTTGCACATGATAATGAAAATTTGTATGATAATGCACAAAATGAAGAAATTGATAATAAAGAAAAACATTATTCATCAAATACTTCTCATAGTACATCACCTATACTTTTCTATTTTGAAAATAAAAGCTTAGCTTTATATGCATGTATTATTTCGCTACTTCTATTGTTAATTATTGGTTTCGGAATTTTTCTATTGAATAAATTTATTCGCCCTGTTGTTGTTAATACGGAAGTTAGCCATCATTATGATATAATGAATATATCGAATACATCAACAACAACAACAACAACAACAACACCAATCACATCTCAATCAGCTATTTCCTCAACTCTTCTTATGCTATTGACACAGTCATCAACTGATATTTCGACATCGACAACTATAACAACAATGAACGATTTATCGTCCCCAAATAAATTTTGTCCATTCGATCGTTGGGATATTGGATGTAAAAATATCTGTAAGCCATGTGGTCTCGGTATATGTCATCCAATTACAGGCAAATGTATCTGTCCAGCAAATATGTATGGGGAATTCTGCGATTTATGGAAAGGTAGATGATATTGTTGAAAAAATAAATTAAATTTTGTTTTGGTTGTTTTTAATTTTAGTCGAGGACAAACCAAAGCGAGGCGATATGATGAGTTGAACTCTAATCGTTATTGTATATATTTTTTGAAAAGATTTTATTGTCATTTTTTTGTCTATATAAAAAGAAAAGCTAAAGAACTACAAGTTGATATTTTTATGCATTTCAAAAACTCAAAACCATATAATCGTAATAACAAATTAAATGAAATATCAATCATATATGTTTATAAATTGCTTTTTTAAAACTATACTCTTAAATAATAATTATTCTGCTTGTTCTTCAAGGATATATATATATATATATTTATATATCGATATCTCTTTGACAAAATGATGAACTTGAATATGTCTATCATTAAAGATGTGTTATGATAAATGACATGATATATTTCATCATGAAAAAAACCTTCACAGATGAACTATTAATATTTAGTTCAATCTATTTTGCTTTCAAATACAGGTTAACTAACTCAGATAAATGAAAGAAAAAATAGTGTTAAAACGAGTTATGCATTAGCCTTGATTTTTCTTTATGATATAATATGATGAAACGAAAAAAAGAAAAGAAAAGACGAGCATGAATGATATTGATAATCGAACTTACTCCGATAATTTCTCATTTTTCGACCTTCTCTATATTCGTTGATGCGTACAGAGCCTTGCAACGGGAAGGTTTCGTACACTTCTTTTTGTTACATTCATTTGTTAATATATTTATACGTTTACTTTCATAACCATGGTTTGTGTCATCATTAGAAACGAATAATTATCAAAAGAAATAGTGTTATCTAATGGCTGGCCGACGCATAGTTGTCCGTGGTGTTCCTTATCAAATTGAACAACAAATTGGTCATGGTCTTCATAGTCTTGTTTTTGGTGCTCATGATTTGCATAGTGGTCGACCAGTAGCTATTAAAATAGTTAATCTTAGTCATGGCTCTACAGACGTTAAAGCTGATACTATATCTCGACGACAATCGTTTGCAAAAGAAATTAAAATGCTTTTATATTTACAACCATTAAATCCTTATGTTATTCGTGTATTTAATCATGATCGTAATGAGCGTGAAGGAATAATTGTTATGGAACGTGGTGGCACATTACGTGATACTATTGCTCAATATGCAATGAGTGGGACACCAATGCCTCCATCTCTCGTACATCGATTTTGGTCACAAATGGTTGAAGCTATTTATTATTTGCATCGTATTGGATTTGTTCATGGCGATTGTAAGCCCGAAAATTTTATTCAAGTTGGCCCTGATGGGACATCATTACGATTAATTGATATGGGGATTAGTTTTCGTTTACCACCAAATGTTACTAGTCGTTTAAAAACGGCTGCTGGAACACCAGGTCCTTTTTTTTATTGATAAACTTTTAAAAAATGTTGCTTTCTTTCTTATTTTTTTCTTTTGTCTTAAATAGATTATGTAGCTCCAGAAATGGTTAGTTCTCGTTTGGGGTTTGGTAGACAGTCAAAATGTGGTTACAAAGCGGATGTTTGGGCGCTTGGTGTTATTCTATTTGAAATGACCTTTGGTCATCGACCATTACAACGCATGAATGGTAATGATGAAAAATTGAGATTTTTAGGTCGATTACGACGTGATATTCCTATCCCGAAACATCCTGATAAAGATTTACGTGATGTACTTAGACGTTGTCTACGTACGAATAAACGTCGACGTGCGAGTGTTGAACAAATACTTGAACATCCATATTTAGCTGCAGAATATTAACAACAAAACGAAGAAAATAACTAAAAAAATAATCGTTTTTATCGTTTGTTTCCAATTCTTGATTAAATCTATTGACAATGTTTTATCATTCGAATAACCAATGCTTCGCTATTTAGATAGTTGATTGGTTACAGATGAGATAAGAATAGCGTGTCTTATCTTGTACGAAGTATTACTTTTTTTGTTTATATGTGCGTGTGTGTACGAGCAATAATCCTTCTTCGGCTTTGTATGTCACGTTCATATTTATCTATTTTTATATCATTCTTGGCGTTAACTTTTTAATGATGTTTGTTTTGAAAAGAATTTCCTTTTTAAACATTTTATTGTTTTGTTTGTTAATGTTCAAAGAGTGAATGTTGATTAATAATGATAAGATCTTAAATAATCAAGACAATAGAAAAAAAAAATCCATAGTAAATAGATCAAAGATTGATAACATACGATCGAAATAGTGATGACAGGATAACAAGACATGGTAATTATTAAACAATAAAACAAAAGTAACCATTTTCCATCACTCATTTATCTTATCAACAACCACAAAATGAAGAATTTTTATTGATTGTCTTTTTTTATTCAAATATCTGCTCGATCAATGCGAAATAATCGCATAATAGAATTGATTGTCACGCATAAATAACTAACGGTAGATCGAAAAATAATTCACAAAATGTGTAATCATTTTTTTAGTCCCTTTAAGAAGTCTACAGAAATTCGACAACATTGGGTCTAAATGAAAATTTTGTATTATTTACCAATATAAATTTAAAATTTACCATGAACGTCTGTTTTGAGAGTTGTGCATTGAACTTTTAGACGTGCGAATATTAAGTTTAGACAGAGAGAATTACATTTTTTTCGCATAGAATTTAAGCAAAGCTCTGCATCAGACTTCGGCGAAAACAGAATGATTATGAAGAATATTTTTTGAAGTTGGCGTCGGACTTACAACAGTAAAACTATTACAAAGCTTTACTTTTATATAGTAACCACCTATTCTTCATATGTATAAAATTAAAAAAAAACATTGGACAGACATTCTTATTGGTGAATAGCAGAAAAAAGAAGTATATATAATAGGTCAAAATTTTTCGAAAATTCTCGGAGTCAAAAAGTTTGCGTCATTAGTGCACTAAATTAAAGACAAAATTATTCTGTATAAAGAGATATAAAAATCAAGAGTTTCATTAACAACCATTCAGAAATAGCCAAGCTCATTTTTCAAGTTTGTTTTTCTTTATAAATTGAGGAAGTTGTCGAAATTATCACAGTCATCTTTTACCAAAATATGCACTATAAATAAATATCATGAAGCAAACTAATCATTAATATACCATTTTAGAGAGTTATGTTTGTTTTTTTCATGCTCTATATTTCATATAATTTTTGCTATTATGAATAATTATTGATGCATTTAGATTTCTCCTAATCTAAACTGAACCAGAACCGATGTTCTCGAGTACCACCAGTACAGACTCATTGAGTACAAATCCTAAAAATATCATACTCGAGTACGAGTATTGACCGTTTGCACTAGGAGTACCTGTATGAGCACCAACCAAGGGTGAAAAACAAGGCTTCAATACTCCGAAGTACGAATGAAGTATAGTAATTTGTTTGGATTTCGAGGCACTGAAGTCTCGCTTGTCTAGATCTAGCTCAAACTTAATTTACGAACCTCTAAAAGATCGACTCACAAGTCCTAAGCTAGAAATCCTACAACAACTTTCGATTTATATTCAGAAGAAAACACAGAATTCTGATTGTAACCTACTGTTTTTTTAGGGCAAATATAATAGCTTTACTATAGAAAGGAGTATATGTAGGATTCTAGACAAAGATTTCCTCCGTCATCAAATCTACTATGTATCGGTAATACGTTAATAGATGCCACTACCTTCGTCGTACTATCTATTAACATGTCAACAGTATGCAGTAGCACTTGATAATATGAAAACTATTAAATAGAAGAAGTCTTTCTCTACAAATCTATATATATCCCGTTCTGTAGTTAAACCCTTATATTCGCGTTTCTATATGCTAATTGAAGAGAATGTAGAACGACGGAATATTTTGTCAAGTTATTGTTCAATTATCCGTTACATGAATAATGTATAATAATAAAAAATTCACTAATATAAGGTCTTTAGTATACGCTATCAAATCCTTTCCTTGCTTCTTTAAGATAGTAAAGAAAAATCGAATCAATAATAAACAATATTTTCGTTCAACCACTCAACATATACATACATATAAGTATACAAAAAATTGTGAGCAGTAATACGAAAGATAATCAAAACCGATACATACATATAGCAAAAAAGAAAAACCACATGAAATGATTGTTTCTCATTAATTTGTTGTTTCGATTACAGTAAAAAAAAAAAAGATCGAATACCATTCAATAAGAAAAACTTACACACACCCACACACACACGCACGCGTCATATATTGAATAATAATTGAAACAATTTACAAAATAAAATACGATTAATTTCCACACACATAAACAAGGAAGAAACAAAATAAATATTCTCATATGTAATGTGTTCGCTTTTTGTTTTTTTTTCATTCAAATAAGATTAGTCTATAATTAAAATCGACTAGAGTCGTGTGACAGGATCGACAAGTAAAAAATAAATTTACGTAGATATACGCAATATCACAACAAGAAAAACAAATAGCAATCTTCATACACCATCAGTAAAACTAATATAATTTTCTGGAATCAAACCAGTTTTACCATTAATTGTACCCATTAACTAAACAATAAAGAAAGTCTTACTTTGGCATAAAAAAGAATATAATACAACTTACCCAGCCAGGTTCTCTCGATCGTCGAACTAGAAAAAAACAAACTCATATTAGATTATTTTTATAGGTTTTCTTTTTCTAAACTCACTTTGAGTAACAATTTCATTTGCATTAAATGATAATTCTGAATCATTATCAGCTGTACAAGGATATAATGTTATAGCGCGAGTTTGTCTATGAAAAAAAATTATAATATTATAATCAACACAAAATCTATAATTATTTACGAACAATTTCGATGTAGGACTTGTAATGTTTGTTCTTGTCGTTGTTGTTGTTCTTAGTGTTGAAGTTGAAATACTAGATGGTTCGGTTTTTGATGATATTGAGGTATTAGTACTTGTTGTCGATAAACGACCTTGATTGTCAGATAATGATAATTGTTTTGTAAAAGATGATGATGAAGCTGAGCGTGTTTGACTATTAATCATACCGAATGCATTGGAACCTTATTTAATATGATGAAATACAAAAATCTGTATAAGAGAAGAGAATACGTTCAAATTTTAACTTACTCTGTATTGATTGTGTACCAGCTGGTGATACGTTACTAAGAGATTCTAAACTGCTACTTGAACTGGCTAGAAAAAGAAAACATATATTGAAATTATGACGATAATTTAATGTCATGTGGATTCAAATAAAAGTGAAATTTTTCAAAAACAACTTCAATACTTCATTGTGTTCAATGTATTTTTAATATTTTTTTTAATGATGAAGAAAATGCTTGAAGATATTTGAACTTTTTTTTTTTTTTAAAGTTCATAAATTCATATTAATCATTCTTAAATAGATCATATTCATCTCGTAGATAGGAATGATTCAATCTGTCATCAGCATGTATCAGAACTCGAAATACACCGATCCACAAAAATCACTGATCTTAATAAACAAAGTTCTCTTGTTGAGCTGATCAGACCTAACATTTTCACTCTTTCTTGCAAACATTATGCAGGTCATTCATGATATAAATCGTTTTAAAATAAGTTTTTGACAGAAACACTATGTGGATTTCAAATACGAGCACAATAAACTATAGTAATTGCTTAGACTGATCTAATTTCTCGTGTACACACAGTGTTCTCTGGTGCATCGAATGTGTTAATTTGTATAAGGGTGTAATTGACAGAAAAAAAAACATGTGCTGAAAATAAACAATTATCGATAGCCAAAACCGCAACCAACCGTTTATCGAACTCTTCAATTTTCAGCAACAAGTGAATCTATGGTAAGCGTATCGATTTTTCAGAAAACAGGAAACTCAATAAGTGTTACACCGCTTTTCTGAATGAAACCTGTTTTATGGATTTTGGTTGTTCAATGAGGTAGCACATGGTCGGAAATAGTCCATGTATGAGAAGAAAAATAATATTGATATCTAAATTTTCGAGACATAGTTGATTCTTTAGCATCATTATCGAACTTATAGTGTTTACTGTAAGTTCGGCATTTACACGTAAAAGTCGGAATGTTTGTAGACAATGAGCTTTGTTAATTTCTGTATATAGACCGTGTTCGACTGTATGCTAGCTTATGGGACAATGTAAATCGAAAAACAAACTTTCATTCAGAAATATGGTACACTTCCCATATGTTTCCCTTAATTAAAGAATCAATGCTGGAGGACATTCAGTTATACATAATAATCATTTCTAAGTGCAAATAGCTTCGAGCATCTTTCCTTTTGTTTGTTTAGCTCAACAGGCAATTCAACTTGTGAAAAAAAAACTTTGTAAAGAAAATTTTCTTCGGGCTGCAACTGAAGTTTTGAATTCTACCTGGTCAAATCATGTAAAAGTAGTCCATTTCAAGTCGCCCTAGTTATCTTTTGGTGTATATCTCAGCAATATTGATCAGAAACCATGGAATTCTAAATTTCAAATAATTCAGTTTTTAACCTGATTTTCTATTCTGTATAAAAATCATTATTTAATTTTAGTCTAATTTTACAATGTATTTTCAACTTCCGAATGTTTATATACATGAATTACTTGTTACTTACACTCTTTTCTAATACTATCTTCTGGCATATGAGGAAATAAATGTTTATTTGCTTCATTGATATGATAATCTGGATTATATAAACCTCGTCGACGTGCATCAGCTGTTGTTTCAATCATTTCACTAGTCGGTGGTGGTGCTCGTCTTGTGAGAGACTAAAAATAAATCAATAACATCGATGG